AGGCGTGTGCCACCACCTCCTGGCTCTGCTCTCATCTTATACTTTGGATATGGCCTCTAGGGCTTGCTCTCTTCTTGTTCAAAACACTATTCAAGGACTGATCAGGGAACACATAGTTCTCTGGAACTGGGTTGGTCACAGATACTTTAATATGAACCTAGAGAGAACATAAAGAAACCATGAAGGGGAAGATAGCCATGTGCTGTATTGGGAGGAGAGGAGTGAGGGTGACTGTTGGAACTTGGGAGGAGAGGATCGCGTGGGAGGCTCATATTGAGAAGTCAGTTCAAGACCCACCCCGCAGGGCTGCCGGGGATACATACCTTATTCTCACTCTGTTCCTCATTTCCTTGTCATTCTGCATGAGGATAAGTGAGCCCACTGCTGTAGTACATGCAATAAAGTCTTTTTAGGGCACAGAGGACAACAGAGAAGGTTTAGGATAGAGCCAAGGATAAATATGCTATACTGTTCATATGCCTGGAAATTGGACAAATGATCTAGACTTTCCATGGGGATGGTTGGCTTTAGACTTCTCTCCCATATTCTTGGTAGTATTTGAAGTGTAAATATGAGCACACACACACACACACACACACACACACACACACACCAACACAATCCTACTGTAGGCTGTCTTATCTATATTTCTCCTGGGATCACTGTGCTGTATGAGCCATCTCAACATCACCATAGGGCAAATGTTCTTAGTTTCTATCATTTTGTAGCTGTATCTACTTTGTATCTTAAACACTTCTCTCTACTACTTCTGAGGTCCCCTTATCCTGGTTGTTGCCAGGATACATATTCTACTTCAGCATCAGTCTGTGGAGGAGGGACATCATGGAAACCAGTGATGCTGGTGCTATCTTTGCATTCCCTTGCTCCACCCTCCCTCACTGGTCTTCCTCTGATAACCCAGGCCACTGGCACCAGAATTTACATGCCTGCCTCTATTGAGGACTTGCTTTAAACCATTGGCTCCTTATAAGGATGCTAAAAGACAGCCTATAGGGACAGGGCTGGTGATGGAGGTGACTTTGACAATTCCTGCACTAAATAATTTTAGAAATCCATCACTTTACTATGTAGGACAGATGCAGAGAATGCCTGTTGTGCTGGGGTAGGAGGGAAGAAAACTCAACACGAACACCATCTCTTCTGGAGATATTTTAAGCACATCTTAAGATAGTATAAGCAAGTGTTTATTATATATGTATAAGTATTATATGAATAAACATTATTTGCCAAAGAAACATTGTGAAAAGTCACATGTTTTAAATACTGGACAATGACTCTTCCAACATCACTATCCACTGTCCATTCCCCTCACATGCTACTAGAAAGCAGTGTTTGTCCCAAGGGGACTCGTTGCAATTTCTCTAGTTTCACTTGGTTCCCTAGGACAATGTTAGTACATTAATCTCAGACCTATTTTTACACTGGTGACAATTATAGATCTCCATGTAGGGTAGAGTAGGAATGGAACAGCTTAGGGACCCGTCTCGGGAATATTTGCATTTCCCAAAGGACTTCTAGAGCTCAAAATAGTCTTAAAATTAAAAAAAAAAGAGTGGCCAACCTTACCAATAATGAGAATAAGAACAGACAAGCACAAAAAGTCATAATTAGCTCTTTGAGAAATAATTGACTATCTATATTAAAAATGGATTGTGTTGTATCAAGGGATGTCCGAGTCCTTCTGAACACAGCACCAGCATGAGCCGTCAGCCATTCTCTTCTTCATACGCTTTTTAAAGTTTAGCCACTTTTACTGAGAAGGAACGGGAGCTGGGAGACCAATGACTTGTGTATGTTAGTGTGAGATTATGGTGTCTCTCAATACCCAGCTCCTCAAGACTCATAGTGAGGCACCATCCTTAGCTTTTGGCATCTGTCCATTGAACACAACTACAGGGTCATGCTAACCTCCCTTCTCTGCTTCCTTGCCTACACTGGTGCACACTTGAGCTTGGTATCAGCCGGGTGGCATTTTTTGTCTTGGAAGCCAAGGGTGTAGTGAAGCTCTCTTCCATGAACCTTGGTTGCTCCTGTTTTCCAAACCCCTGGATTTTCGTGATTCTGTCATTTAGATACATAAGGTGGGCTTACTTTGAAATGTTATCAAACACTTCTTTTGCCACACAACTTGTGGCTGTTGTTCTCTAGTTTCCGTGTTTTATCACCACTCTCAAGTATGACATTCTAATGTGGATCCTACTATTGACATCACAGAACAGACTTTACTGCTCTGTCTTGTCTCAATGAATGCAACTTTAGTTTCCTGCCTGTGGGATTATACCTTGACTTGGAAAACTGGTTTCTTTTATATGGGGCTGTATTAAAAAGGAATGTGTGTGTGTGTGTGTGTGTGTGTGTGTGTGTTCAACTGGGCATGCATGTCTATGTCCTAAGACATACATAGATTGAACATCTGATATGGGTTCTGAGGTTACAAAGAGGAACATAACACTTCCCTTAGAAGACTTAGACTTCTGAGCCTGGTGAAGACAGATGGATAAGCCAATTGTCCTTAAGCTGCAAGAGGAAAGGCACTGTGGTCAAAGGAGAATGGAGACAGTGAAATGCATCTGAGCAACTGGTGACTTTGTCGTTGGTCAAGGGACTCCTGCCTGTGCCCGTTAGCTCATCCCAAACCAGACATGTCAGCAGAGTTACGGTGCAGATGAAAGAGTTCACTGGGTCTGATCTCAAAGTAGTGTTTCAATGGCAGTTCTCTGTGCCTCAGACGTTGAGCATCTCGGTTGTAAAACATAGTGGGAGATGAAGCCAGAGAGATAGGCATGGCTGAGACACAGAATGCTTGGGAAATGTAATGAATTGCTGATTTTATCCCGGCAAGAATATATCTGTATAAAAAACTCTATATTTTGAGATTATTCATAAATCACCTGAAGTCAAATTCTCCAGGGTGTTTATCATAGCTCACTCCAGGTTAAGCATCCCTCTGGTGTATAGTAGAGGGCATCAAAGGGTTTTAAGCAGAAGTATGCACAGATTCAATTTTTACTTTTGAAAGAAATTTTTGAGTGGAGGTTTGTGGAAAGTTAGTCTAGCAGTAAGAGGAAATGTGAGCTAGACCTACATGAAAGGAATCTGTTTTTCCCCCAGCAGGTGAGAAGGGTGGCGTGAAGAGGGGATGGAGCAGAATTGGGTAGGGTGTGTATTAATCAGGGTTCTCTAGAAGAATAGCACTTATAGCATGTGTGTGTGGGGGGGGGAGCACGCGTGTGCGTGTGCACGCACATGCACACGCGCATACACATATATATGAGATTTTATATTTACAAGTATATTTGTTTCATATACATGTATATATATATGCATATATATATATGTTCTTGGAATTTATTAGAGTGACTTACAGGCTGTGGTGCAGCTAGACTAGCTATTGTGGTCTACCAAGGAAAGTCCAAGAATGTACTTGTTCACTCTACAAGGCCAACTATTTCAGATGGTTTTCAGTTAAGTAGTTCTAATTCCAACACAAGAGTGGACTTTCGAGCAAGAGTAAAAGCAAGTAGACAAAGAGAGCAAGCTTCCTTTTTCCACATCCTTTATATAGGCTGCCACCAGAAGGTGTGGCCCAGATTAAATGTGGATCTTCCGGCCTAAAAATATAGATTGAAATGTGGGTCTTCCCACTTTAAATGATTTAATTAAGAAAAACCCCTCATACATGTACCCAGCTGCTTGAGTTAGTTCCAGATGTAGTCAAGTTGACAACTAAGAATAGCCACCATGGGTGTTATGGGTAATTGGAACTTGGTATTGACCTCCCTGTTTCTGAAGGGCCTGTGCTGTTAGCCAGAAGGGATAATGTTGGCAGGAGCAGGATTGTGGAGCAGGAGACATGGGGCGGGGCCACCGAGACAAGCTGAGTTCAGGCTTGCTGGCATTCTCTCAGGGGTCATGCTGTGTCTGTGGGTATGTGCGCTGGAGTTAAGGGCACAGCCCGGGCTACTGAGAATTTTGGGCTACTTGGGTCTTTACAAGACAGGTCCTGTTTGGAGTCTCCCAGTAGATGAAGTGACTCCTAGTGTTGAGAGTGAGAAAGCAGAGGGCAGAATCCTGGGGAACCCCTTGGTTCGGAGAGCCAGGATACAAAGTCAAAAGGGCCAGGCTGGCTAAAGATGGGGGCCTAAGCGAGAGGAGCGAAGAGAAAGCGTAGACTCCAAAGAGAAGAAGAAACGAACAGTGTGCATGCAGTCAGAAGTGGGGCAAGGCTCTCAAGGTTACGAGAACAGGAAATAAGGGCTGCAGCCTGGCAGTTAGTTTCACTGGAGCTGTTACTAGAGAAAATGAGTTAGGAGAAGGGGAAGTAGATACGACGCCCCACCCCTAATCAAGAAGCTAGTTGCAGTTGATACATTCTGGAAAATGGAAAATGAGTTTTCTCCAATGGAGTGACACTGAGTGTATATATCAATGCCACTTTAAAGCAGGCCCTATGTCCCGGGACAGATGGCCAACATAAAATGAATTTCACAGTTTTTGCATGCTTTTTGTTTGAGTTGGGTATTTTTCGCCTTAATGATTTTGTTTGTTTTGAGAGAGAGAAGAAACATGTGATTGAGTGGGGAAGATCTGGAGAAGTTGGGGAGGGGAAAGAATGTGATCAAATAATGTTGTATGAGAATTTTAAAAAATAATAAAGAAAAAAGCTACAGCAAGGTAGGGGAATTAAGGGCTAAAGGCTAAGGATTGCATACCGATAAGAACACAAGTTTGCTTCTGTGTGCGTAGGTGTGAGTGTGTATTTATATGTGTGTATGAGTGTGTATATGTGTGTATGTATGTGTGTTTGTGTGTATATATGTGTGTATGCATGTGTGTACGCGTGTGTATATGTATGTATGTGTGTGTATGTGTGTGTTCATGTAAGAGAGGAAGAGAAGTGATCGTAATTCTGTGCCTTGTGTCTACTTGTAAAGCAGCTTTTGCATAACATCGCGTGTATTTACTTTGTTTAATCCTAGAAGTATCTCAGACTCCAGTCTATGGAAAGTGGCCTTGGGAGAATGGCAGCTGAGCCACAGGAAATGAGCCTCAGGATTCTCTCGTCCCCCGGAGGCCCTGTCCAGACAGAAGCTGCCCCTGCTGGCTTCTGTGTAGAGGAAGATGACTATGCTGAACCACGAGACTACTTCAATGTTCTGGGCTACCGAAGCCTAGAGAGCTTCAGCGTCCTAGCGAAGACTGTCTGAGGACGGTTTTATCCCACCCTGCCTCCCTCTCTCCCTGTCCCTGTGTGTGTTTGTGTGTCTGTATCTGTCTGTGGTTAGTGAAGGGAAGGCAACTTCTTTTCAAGTTCACCTCTTCTACCCTTCTCTTCAATTTCTCTGTGATAGACCCAAGGTACACAGCTTGTGACATGATTATAAATGGAAATTTGAAAATTAATTTTTAATTTATGTGTATGACTGTCTGGTCTGTATATATGTGTACCACACATAGATAGTGTTTGCAGAGGTCAGAAGAGGGAATTAGATCTAGAACTGGAATTAGAGACAGCTGCGAGCCTGGACCTCTGAGGGATCAGCAAGTGTTCTGAGCAGCTTTTGCCAGCCTGGATTTTTTTTTAAGACAAAGTAAAACAATGAAAACAACCCCAACATCCCCATTGACCTGGCTTTGAATTTAGTGATCTGAGTGGGTCTTCTTGTGACTTTGGGAAATACATTCCTCATAAGAACTCAGGCAGGGTTTTTAGCTCCAGGTGCTGAGGCAGATGATAAGAATGGCCACTGGGCTTATTTCCCATTGTTATCTTTTCCCCAACATTCACTCATTCAAGACATTTATTTATGAATGAAGCAAAACACAGACCTCTATGGGGGATTCAAGGATGGTACTCTCACAAAGTGAGGAGACATTTATAATAAGACGTACTAGGAGATAAGGCTTCATGATTTGTGCCCCTGGGGTGTGGTGAAGACTCCACAGAGAACAAAAGGATTGATGAGGCTGGCCTGGCAGGAGGAGGTATTTTCCTGGGAACACAAAATTCAAGATAGTATAGGTTGAAGTCCTGTGAGAAATGTCCTGGCACCCAAGGGCCAATGAATGTCAGACTTTCTTATTTAGCTGGGCGTTTTGGGTCTGCTGAGCTCAGACTCTGTTAGGATAGCTGGCTCAGAGAATGCCAGGCTCCTGGAACTGCACTTCGTGGTCAGTGGAAGCCCTCCGGAAACTCCCCTCCACCTGGGAAGCCACGCCCTACACCTGGATCAAGGTAGACTTCCTTTTCTGGATCAATCTGCCACTGAGCTTTGAAAATGGAAACTTTTTGCCACCAAAAGGAAAGTCTATGTCTTTAAAACAAGGACTACTTCTGAAGACAAAAAATAGGGTGTGTGACTGAGGATTTAAAAATAAGACCTTCCTTCCTCATTGCCTGACCTCTTTGTGCTGGGGATGGTGTGCTTGCAATCAAATTATGTTGGCCTGCTTTCAGACTGGATCTTAAGACTTTGTCCTTTGCCCATCTCTCTTGGAGGAATGAAAAGGTTGGATTTATCTGTGAGTGGTTTTCTTTCATGAGCACAGATCTAAGAGAGAAAGACGTGACCTTGTCGCTCTCCAAAGACTTAAGTTAAACTTTAGCAGGAAGACAGTTCGGCTCCTGTTCCTCCTGGGAATCCCCACTCCCACATCACTTTCCTCTCAGATGGATCATAAGGGGTTAAGATTGGTCCAGAGCCCCTGCCTTTGGGAAGAAGATGGGTACAAGTATAATGAAATTTGTTGTTTGCTGGGGCAGTCCATAGGACTTGTCTTACAGAACTAAAGCAAATTGCTTGAAAGTAGAACACAGCTTACAAATTGGAAATGAACTAAATGTAAGTATAAACAGGAGAGGTGATTTGACTTGGAGAAGACAGATATTGAGCTGAGGCTGTATTGAGATTTGGGTGTCACTTAACATAATTATGGTAATTGGGAAACATTTACAAATACCACACGGATGGAGAGAAAATACAAAGGAGCCTATAGATGTCGGAATTGGGTCAGGTTACTAAAACGAGATTCAGTTCGACAGAAAACAAATTTCCAAGTGGAAAGTGAACTAGTTTCTCTTCTGAGATCCACAGAAGACAAGTGCCGTAGTTCCAGACTCATGAAGACACATGCTGCCCAGGACAGTAGCCACTTTTTCCTTGTGGCTGTCCCAGCCCAGGAGCCATGAGCTTCATCCCAGGTGGGACTTGCTGTTATAGGTCTAAAACACACACCAGATTTTGAAGACAATATGAATCACAAAATGTAAACTATCTCATCTAATGTAAAAAATATACATTACATTTTTTAAATGATCCTTTGGATATTTTGGGGTTAAATAAAATATATTATTATAAACTAGTTCTCCTGCTTCCTTTTGCTTTTTAAACATGACTCCTAGAAATCTAACTTTGCTTATGGAGCCCCATTATAGTTTTATAAGCTTGAGCTGCACTGGAACCTGGGGTGTGAACCGCCTATCTGTTGGTCTTTGTCTCTGTCTCCTTCTTTTAAAATGTCTGAGGAAGTCCCGCCCTCTTACCACACTGTATGCAAAGTACATAGGCAAGGACCACAGAGAAACTGAAGGAAGGGCACTTAGGTGCCCACAGAAAGAGATTCTAAGTTCTCCTGGTGTCCGCCTGAGTTTCCCCATAGGAACTGGCGTTCAGGAAGGAAAACGTTACTGATTCCCTGCACACACTCTGATACTGGGCTACAATCAGATCCACAACCCATGAGATTAAACTGAGAAATGTTGAGTCCTAGAGCATTGAGCCTCATGAAGGGACATCAACTTTTCTTGCAGTTTTATTTCAGGGAATGTCCCTTCTCAGTCTCTGGGTCCTAGGAATGACTTGTCACATACTTGTGTTCATACCATTAGGGCTGAGTTAGGCAGGCATGCAGGGAGGCTGTGTGTGCTCTGCCCAATGGCCACTTGGCAGGGTGCTCTGAACAGGGAGGAAGGAATCTAATATGCAGCTAGACTGTGTCTGCCACCTTGGGGAGAGGAGTCAGTTTTCAGTCTGGGTTCTTCCTAGTCCTGCTTCATGTCTGTAAGTAGTAAAATCTCATCTGTCACCTCAAAGCACAGTCATCAACAGGCCCAGGGGAACCTTACTTGTAACAAAAACGTGAGCTTTTTCTAAGTTAGACTGCACCCAATGGTTAGGGAATTTGGGGAGGTGAGGCATAGGCTGTGGCTGTGTTAATAGAACTTTTGTGGAAATGTTCTACCTGCTGTCCAATGTGATGGCCATTAGCCACAGGAAGAAATGGAGATCTAGGGATCTGACAAATGTGACAAAGGAAATCCAGTGGAATTTAACTGGCTAGAACTCCTAATTCATGTTGTTGCCATGTTTCTGGGCATTGATGGTTTTGTGGATCTTTTGACAGCGTTACCACCAGGAAGAAACATGTTACCACCAGGAAGAAACATGAATGTTTTCCTTCCATTCTGTCCTTCCTCTAACCAAGACAAACCATGAGGTCAAAAGCAGGCTGCACAGTTACTTATTTTTAGCTCTTTTCATGGTGATCTCAAGTTGTCAAGCAGGGGTTCACAGCAACAGGACAGGGTGCAGGCTGTCAAGAAGTTGTCAATGTGCATCATAGGATCCATTCTGGGGTGACAGTGATTTAATTTCGTGTAAACTGTGGAAGACCTTTCTCAGAGACTGCAACTACAATAGGTTTCACAGCAATTGAAAGAGAAGTGACTCTAGTGTGGTGTGAAGTAGAAACTGGTCTGATTGGTCCCAATATCAGCGACTGCAGTGAAGCTGCCTGGTGGGCAGTTATTCAATCTCTCAGTGCCTCACTACAAATATCTCGTTTGTAAATTAATAACAGTAACATTTGCTTCAAAAGACCTTAAAAGAATGAGGTCTAGCAGTTGTTGCTAAGCTAATAATAGAGGGCTAAGTTAGTGCTGTTACTGAGTTATGCCCCCTGAGCATAAGTCATGGTGTCCCAGGGTTTCCCAGTAGAGGAACAGAACTTGTTGGGAGGAAACCAAGGAGTCTGCAATTACGAATGTCTTCAAAAATTGGGATTTGACAAATGATGAGTTGCTGATACAGTTTTGGGGTCCATGGGTTTCTTGTGAGCTTTTTACAAATTTTGTGTTTTTAGTGAAATAACCCTTTTAAAAAGTCAAACATACTGTAGATGCTGATGATCTTAGAGTAGGCACTGCCATTGTTTTTCCCTGTTTATAATTACATTGATTCCAAGGGACAAAAGCTTCCGTCATAAATGATTCATTTGCTGCAGGTGAATAGAACAATGAAGATTCTGCAATAGTGGATGTACAGCAAATGCAGAGAAGATTGTCTTCTCTTTACACACTTCCCTGAGGCTGTGGACAGGTCATAAACAGCAGCAGCGAACTTCACTGTGGGCCAGGACACAGCTTTACAAAAGCAATGTCCAACACACTAGCATCGTTGTTATTGCAAAAATCATTCCTTTTATAGTTTTCTCTGTGTTTAATGTGTAACCTTGGCTTTGAATCTGTAAGGTAAACAGGCTTATTGGAAGTTATGTCTTGAGAAAATTTGGAAATTCTCATAGCAAAAAATGTATGTATATATGAGTTTATTAAAAAAGCATAGTAAAAGTATTCCAACTTTCTGCTATGAATGGGGACTTGTGAGATTTTTTCTTTTAAAGGAATAAACCCATTATCATTCAAGTTTCAGAATTGCTGGCGTGTATGAACATGAAGGAAAAAAAATAAGCTCGAGTGTTTAACTGCTCTTATTGGAGAGTCTTTGTCACACTCCATTGCTGGAATAACTGGGAGGGTGGATGAGTGTACATACTACTAATGCTATATAGATAGTGTGCATGCTGTTCACAGTGTGACAGGGCCACATACAAACCACACCACTGTGTGGCGACCAAATATGGCACAGGCTCTGCCAGTGGATGCAGAGTGCAAACCCTGAGTGAAGCTGACGGCCATTATGATGCTGACAGTCAGTGCTCCCAGATATCAGACAGGCACAAATCATACTTCATCTTTTTAAATTTATGTTTTAAAAAGATTCATTTGTTCATTTAATTCATGTGTGTATGCACTCTTGTATGAGTTTATGTGTGCCATATGTATGTGGGAACCTGTGGAGGACATAAGAGAACACTGGATCCCCTAGAACTAGGGTGACAGGTAGCTATGAGTCACCACGTGGGTGCCGGGGACTAAACCTGAGTCCTCTGCAAGGGCAATGAGCACTACTGAGGCTTCTCGGCATCTCAGTATCATTCTTGAACTTTCTAGAAAATTAGTTTAACTTAAGACGAGTTACAGAGTTTCAAGACACCAATGTTAAATGTCATTGTGACACCTTGGTAATTTACCAATGACTTTCCAGGGCGCAGGTCTCTTTGATTGTATTAGGGTTGTGTGGGGGCATGTTGTGCTCCTTACAGGAGTGGAAATGGCTACCCACAGTGCCCCTCCAGCTCAAAGTTTCATGTCTTTGCGGGTCCCACAGACTTGACTTGGACCCTTCCTTGACCTCCCTCATCCGCCATCATTTGTTAGTTCGCTGACTTGTACAGCGCTGAGAAGACAGCTTGAACTGCAGAGCATTGCTTCTGATTTTTATAGAACACCTATTTCTAGTTGTTAGATTTGAAGACCTACCAGGGCTAAAATAATTTCTCGTAGTTCATCCATACTCTACACAATATTGAATAAAATACAGACACTTACTAAAGGCTCAATCAGTTAAATTTGGGTAACCTCACCAGGCACAAGTAAGGCCTACATTTTCCTTATCACAGTACTCTTTTGTGTGAGAATGCCAACGTTAGGAAAGTATGTTCAGATGGAGAAACCTACAAGAAAGATCTGTGGTGCCCACAGAAGTCCCTTAGCAGTCTGCAAAGTCATCAAAGGGCATTTTCAACTATGAACTTTTGCTTTGCTTTTTTGCTAAATCTCAGAAGTCCAGGTATTACGACTTGGTTCTGAGATAGATTCACAGGCTACAGGATCATAAGAAATGGTTGTTTCCACAGGAAATGGCACTAGGTACTAGGTACTGATTTTCAGATGGGGAGGACACAGTGAGAGCTCATTTGTTAAGCAGTAAACAACCCACGTCATTGCTTCTGAGGCTGAGGCACAGAACAATGCCCATATAGGTCTCCACTACAGATGTCTACTATGAATCTCCACCATGTAGATCTCCACTATGGGTCTCCACTACAGATGTCTACTATGAATCTCTACCATGTAGATCTCCACTATGGGTCTCCACTACAGATGTCTACTATGAATCTTCACCATGTAGATCTCCACTATGGGTCTCTACTACAGATGTCTACTATGAATCTTCACCATGTAGATCTCCACTATGGGTCTCCACTACAGATGTCTACTATGAATCTCTACCATGTAGATCTCCACTATGGGTCTCCACTACAGATGTCTACTATGAATCTTCACCATGTAGATCTCCACTATTGGTCTCCACTACAGATGTCTACTATGAATCTTCACCATGTAGATCTCCACTATGGATCTCCACTATATAGAGATCTTACACTATAGATCTCCAAGTGATTTTCCCATTTTGGGTGTCAAGAGGACTGGTGTGTTGTTCTGACCTTCTAAGTATGGATCTCAATTTAGACAATCTCAGACTCAATGAAGGACGATGGACAGCTGCCTGAAGCAGACACACCACCAAGAAGACACAAGGAGACCAACAGAAGAATTTTTAAATTTTTTTTGTTTTTTTTAATTATTCCTTCATATTCAAACTTCACAAACAGTGTGAACTTGTACAATACCTCGGAAAGTGAAACTTACAAAAAAAGTGCTGGTAACATTTAAAAAAAAACAACAAAAACCCCAAAAAACAAACATCATTCTTAGCAACATCAATTACTCTTCCACACAAAACAGAAACCTTGTAAAATTTATTTTCGTATTTTTAAGGCGTAATACTTCTGTATAAAGTATATGCAAGAGATAAAACTTCACAGTATTCCAAAATGTCACAATAATAATAATATAATAGTATAATGAAGCGCTACAGTTAATTTTTCTTTTTTTTGAATTTTTTTCCTGTTTAAATAACAAATACAAGTCACAGGTAAATATACGTGAGAAAAATACGAGGCTAATATTAAATGGCAGGTAAGGATACTGTCACTGTAAGAAAAACTGGCAGGGTGTGTGTATTTAGTCTATATTTTAAAGCACTTGATAGAAAAGGCGTATGCAAGGTTCTTCAAAACAATTTTCTGTTTGTTTGTTTAATAACTGACAACAAGAGTATAATGAGAGAAAAAAAAGGAACAAACTCCCTCTCAAAACTATTGACCTGCTCATCCCAGACCATGCCCCTGTGGGAGGGTGTGTGTGTGCTGATGTGTGCCTGGGTCTCTACAGCGCAGACTGAGACGGCAGTGTTCCACACCCACCTGTGAGGACAGCCATTCACGCAGTCCCTCTTAGGACATTATTCTGTTGATTTAATGGTCTCTCTTTTCTTGCCTCTCACTCTTTCCAAACTCTTCCCCAGTGCCTAGTTCTTCAGTCTGAAAAGTTGCCCTCCATTCAACATTCTCTGGGAAATGGAAAACTGCATACAGTTTGTGACACCCACAGAGACATCTGAAATATCACTTGGACAAATGAGCTATGTGTATATGTGTTTGTTAGGTCTGAATACACAGTGTGTGTGTGCACATGTGTGTATACACAGTAGCAACTGCAAAAAAGGGACCATATTCCTTCCCACCCTAATATACACTGTGATAAGGAACATTTTTCCGTGCAGGGACAGGGTTTCTTCGAGTCTTATCACAACTCTGTGGCAGGAGAATCAGGAAATGAGTTCACCTTTCAGCAGTCACTACAGTAAACTTCATTGAGAACACACATGCCCAGATGTCTGGTCTGTGCACGTGTGTGTGTGTGTGTGTGTGTGTGTGTGTGTGTGTGTGTGTTAACAGCTAGCTATTGAGCTAACAGATAACAGATAGACAGCAGATAGCAAAACACGTCAATAAGGTGCTCAAAGGAGAAAGTGGCACCCACTCGTCACATGGATGGCCACGCTAAGGTGCTTCAAAAGAGTTTTAAAGTTTTTATTTCAAATGTTGAGAGAGTTCTGGTTTGCACATGGTGGTTCTGAGCCAGGCCAAGGGTTTTGAGATTTCTGACATCTTCCTACTGAAAAGGGCTTTCACTGTAGTTGTTTTGTTCACTTGGATGTAGTCACTTGAGTCTAAAACATTTTTAATAGCCAAAACTTAAAATCATCATGATTAAAAGAAATAACTGTGAAATGGAATAGAACATTACTGCATTCCCATTGGATCAAGATGGGTTCGCCCAGTTTTCCTCTATCGCTAACACTGTTCCTTTTTTTCTTTGTTACAATCCATTCTTTATGAACATACAGAAATGACCAAAGTCACTGCAAGTGGCTGTTTTTATTTTTTGTGATCTGTTGCAAGAGTCCAACCTTGTTTCCTCTGCTGCTGTTTGTGTACTAATGAGCATCTGATTGGCTATGTGTATGTGTGTATGAACACACACAGACCTATACATGTATAATATATACACCATATATGTGTGGACATATATAGGAAGTGTGTATACATTTATACATAATAGAGTGTATATTGTTTCAACTGGAGATAAGCTGAACTGGGTTCAGACATTAGCACATGTTTATCTTTCCCCTGCTCCTTCTGTGTGTTTTAAACAGTCTGGAGCTTGTATTAATTTTTAAAGTGCATTTTCAATGCAGAATAACTGTAATCCACTGATTCCTTGGATAAAATTTTGTTGTTGTTGTTGTTGAGAAAAATCTGATGGTTTTCAGCCCCAGGCAAGAGAAACCTGGGTTCGGTCATGCCAAGGGCTGACGTGGCAGTGCCAGGCTTGTGCCTGAGTGATTACTGGGCATTCTGGACTCCGGGCACCTCAGCAGCAGCAGCAGCACCGTTATGAGAAGGCAGAGATAGGAAATGAAGAAGGAAGGGAAGTTCAGAGGAGAAAGTGTATTTGTGTGTGTGTGTGTGTGTGTGTGTGTGTGTGTGTGTGTGTGTGTGTGTGTGTGTGACTGTGATGGGCTTGTGCAGTCCCTGTGTAGTTTCAGCTAAGAGATGCCATCTAGTTCCTTCCCCACTGACTGACTCCAATGTTCTATGTCCTCCACATGCTCAAAGATGACCTAGAGGTCCTCATTTGTGAGGCCAACATCAGCGTTTGTTCTGTGGGTGTGTGAGTGCCAGCATCGAGTAGGAATAAGGCACCAGGGAAATCAAATGTTTTATGAAAAAAAAAAGCAAAATCCCACTTCAGAGAGCCTCTTGCCTTGTTCCATTAGAATATTGCATGTGATACCATTCACTTGTGTGCGTAAGAATGTGTCAAACACATTTTCTGAAAGGAACTCGAGGCCCTTCAGCACCAGAGATCTTTAGGAATGCACCCTCTGTCTCTATCTCCCCTCCACCACCCCATCCCACCCCACCCCCACAAGAAAAAGCACCAATTTAGGAGAGCAAGGCAACTTGCCTCACTCGCCTCATTTTGATAAATAATAAAAAAGTCTATGAAATAGAGATTTCCGAAACCGCTCTAAAATCAAGTGGGTTAGGTTGTCAGATATCTGACTACTTGGATGCTCTAAGTGTGCACAGTGCAATGTGAAAGGTTTGAGATGTTTGTGTTTAGTGTTTAGTGGGGAATTTGCTTCAAAGATTCTTTTCTAAATGATGCTTAAAATCTTCCAGAAAAACTGAACCTCCCCTCTTCTCCTGAAAACAAAAGAAAACAAAACCCAACACATTGTAAAAAGGAAGAGGTTCATTTAGCTATAAAAGGAAAAAATGAAGGCACATGACTTCAATTCAGTCCCATGATCCTCAAAAGAAATAGATTTTTTTTTTGCTTGTGTGTCTGTGTGTTTGGGAGTGTGCACGTGCACGTGTTTTTGCACATAGGAAGTATGAAGCCCATTGGATAGTTACCAAGGGAAGCTAGAAGAGAAAACGAGAGATTTTGAGACAGAAGAAAGGAGGAAAGGGACGCCTCTCTTCAGCTTTTTGTCACTGACAATCTCAAGAGTTTGCTGCTTTAGGGTCCAGAAAAGAATGTATTAGTCTTGGTCTGGAAAGTGCCCCAGTTATAAATATCTCCAGTTAATCATGTTACAGCTTTTGATGGTTCCCTTTTCCCTTCCCTCCAGCCAAATGATTTTTTTAAAAAATATCACAGTTTTTAAAAATTATTTTTTCAATGTTGAAAAAATATGGAAAAGCTATCGAACAGCCTCAGGGCACACTGCCTCTCCATCTTCACAGTGAGCAGATGGACGGACAATCCAGAGTCAAAGAGGAGGTGGGCAGCAAGAGCCCTGTGCTGAGTGGTCCCTTGCTTTACCTCCTGAGGGCTGGGGCCTTCACAGCAACCCCAGCCATTTTTTCTATTTGGATCCCATCCCCTCCCATCAATGGAACATGGGCTGCTGGGAAAGGCAGAGCCATGGTAACTGGAGGGTCTTAGAAGCAGAAGATGAAGGTGACAGCGGTAACCCCTCCAGGCACTGTTGGCTGGGTGTGCTCTTGGCATCCTCGCCTCTGGATGGAGAAGCTCAGCTGCCCTGGGGAGGCTGAAGTCCCACTCACACTTCACTTCGGGAAACCTCACCACCTTCATGCCTCTCACTGCAGAGCTGGTCCCAGGTTCCCAAGAAGGCAATGATCCAAGATGGAGAGGCAGGGCCAACTGGCTGTGTTATACAAAAAAGGGGCTAAGGACAGTGGGATTTCAGAAACAAATTTAACTTTGGTTTTCCGACTTTTTCAGACCATAAAAATTAAAGCAGGGCTTCGGAGGCCTCTGTCATCTGAGAGCTGTTATGTTTTCCTCATTTGGCAAGGCTAAGGCGGGGGGAAGAGAAAAGGGCTTTCCCATAATCGGTTGAAGACACAGGGTGGTAAAATGCTTCCACACTTAAACTCACAGTCCAGTGTTTTTGACATTTCATAAATAGCTTTTTCTCTAAAAAAAGAATAAAACAAGAACAATCCCTTTACTTACTCATCTGAAACAAAATAAACAGCAGTGGGTACAAACTTCTTCTTGTAACAATTACAAAAAAACAACAATATAATCCCAACTTTTAACACGCATCTTGAATCAGTTATTATTTTTTAACCTCAAAACTGCAGCATATCCTTAAGGGCAAACTTTTCGATTAGTTTTTTTCTTTTTTTCTTTTTTTAAATAATGTCTTCACCAAAAAAACAGTCTTGTACCAATAAAATGCATTCAAAAATAGAAAATATCACACAACAAAAATATGTATCCTTCCTTTCCAAAAAAGATTCTTCACAAAAAAATGTAGAAAAAATTCCAACAATTTTTTCCCTCTCCTAAACATTAACTTTCAGTCTAGGGCACAATTATTTATTGATTTAAATGTCTGTTTTTGCATAAGATATGGAAGATGCAAAACTTTACTGTATTAAGATTGTGAAGTTACATCCACTCCCACCCCATTATAAAACAGAACAAAACCAGAAAAAAAACCAGCAAATATTTGAGCAAATAATGAGCCCGTAGGCTAAGAGAAGTAACCTGTGTCGGAGTTCTCACTGTACACCGGTGTGAGGCAGCTGGTCTTGTAGTGGGTGATGCAGGAGAAAGGAGCAGGCTGGATTGAAGTGCTTTGTAACACACATTAATTTCAGTGACTTGCAGTCTTCCATGTGGGTGACTGTCACCGGTAAGTCTCAGAGAACCGTGTGAATCAGCATGAGGACCGTCAGAGCACTGACACGTGTGCGTGTGTGCACTGGATACAGACATTTCTGCAAAGCCTTCTCAAGCAGTGTGTGTGTGTGTGTGTGTGTGTGTGTGTGTGTGTGTGTGTGTAGCTGAGACAAATAATGAAAAGTAACCCAGAGCTCCTGTGCTATAAGGGAGGGGATTACTCCCTCCTTAATCTCTTCCACATTCAATTTATTTGGTTTTTATTGGAATAACGACAAGATCTCTCCTCAGAAAGAAATGGCCTGTCTTCTCCACACACTTTAAACTCAGGTTCCTCTTATAGTTTTCTGTACTGTAGCTTACACTGTATGTTTTTCTTACTTGACAGTATTTATCTCTCATGTGAGACATAGCTTATACATATATTTTATATGGACAGATTATTTTCCATAGCTTTTGCTTGTGTCTTTACTTATTTGTTTGCTGGTTTTTTTCTTTGGGGTTTTGTTTTGTTTCTGATTTTTAAACAGTGAAATGTGTCCAATTTTATTTCCAGTGCATTAAACAAAATTTAAATTAAAAGAAGAAATAAAACTTTCTCCCTCATTCTTCTAAAGGAAATGAGTGATAAAAGTACAATAAAATCAGGCATTACCAAAAAAAGAGCATCATGTGCAACCTCAATTACATCAAATAAAACAGACAAACAAGATTTGTAGAACATAAGCATGAAGAAGCCAAGATAATATAATCCCAACTATGGTGTGACTGGCAAGCACTGGTTAAAAATAGGTAAGGCTACTCTTAGATTTCAAACAACACAGTTAACCACTGCTCTTCATCTTTTCTCTTCATCCTTACTCACTAGATTCTTTATATGTTTTAAATGAACAAATTTGTTTTTATATTTTTGGTCTACAGTAGAATTACATATTAACAATATAATAAAAAGATATTTAAGTAACAGATTGGTACTGCATCCATGTGGGGAAATAGAAAAAGAGCACTCAACTAGACATAGCAAATGGACTCTATCTTTATAAAAATAACAATAAATGTAATAGAAATTATATTTGGGGTAACATTAAGTTGGAAACAAGTAGAAAATTCTATTTTGGATAATACAGAGTTCTGACAAGCTATACCCTAGAATTGCAGCCTCCAAATCTTTCCTGTGATTCTACCTTTCCACTCTCACTCAAGATTCAAATGGAAACAGAAACAAAATGAAAAGTAAAGTTGACAGATGTTTGAGCCAGCCAAAACTTCCAAGTTATCAGAACTGATCATCAAGATCAGGTAGATACCACTTGGGAAGCTATCCAACCATAAGGGAGTTGCTAATAGTATTTTCTTGGTTTTAATTTGGAAGAGTTACCATCCTACTGATAAAGAGACAGACCAAAGAATCAAATAGCTCTTCTGGTGACATAGCTGAGATGAAGTATCATTCTGGTGGAGAGGACATGGCAATAGGTGGGAGAGAGGAGAGAGAAGAAACAGGTGAACTTTGGGCACTACCTTCATCTGATGCTAAAACACAGTGGCTTCATTTTGTTTCTAAAAATCCTTTTGGATGAGCTACAGAACATAATGTGTTTTGGATAAATATGTGTCAGCTCATCTATTGGCATGAAATCCAGACTCACTGGCTTCCATAAGAGCTGAATGCTATCCCTATCACTCACTGTTGTAACCTTGATGAGGCAGAGAAGGCAAGCAAAATTGTAAGGGCAGAGGCTCTTAACTAGCTAGCCCTAGCCAATGGTTGATAACTTATTGGGGGGGGGGGGGAGACAGAGACAAAGAATTGCTAAGAGTTGGATTTGGTAATAAGAAATGTGTAGTTTCCTTTAAGAGGAAGGAAGGAGGGAGGGAGGGAGGAATGGAGGGAGAGAAGATGTAGTAGTGAAGGGGAGATATGTTAAAAGAACACATTACTTTGGGTTTCTTTTAACTTAAGAGTTGTCATTTTTTTTTCTCTCATTCTTTCATTAAAGGAGAGCTTAGAATCTAGTGCAAACATCTTCAAATCACAGCATTCCAGGGGCAATATCCTATCCCTTCATTCCTCCGACCTCCTCAGAAGATGGGGGCAATGGTCCAGATAAGCGTAACTGAATACATCACTTGCTACAACAAGAAAGGCACTATCTGCTTCCACGGATTTCCCTTCCCATGAACATCTCAACCACCTCAGCAGTCACAGCAAGACTCCCCACACTGGAACATCTCAGTACTGGAGTCCTCTGGCCTGCTGTCTACTTTCCCCGTGCCACTGTCATTGGCCCAGGGCACACAGAGCCCCACTTTGCCATCTCATATTGCTCAATGACTCTCTCTCATCAATAATCTTTGTTTGGTTCTAAATGATTTAACTCACTTTCTTCCATGGAAGTTTCTTTCTCTCCACAAGCCTCCAGGTTACAACTGTATTTCACACTGTTTATAGTGTCAAGTACTGTGTATTTTTTTAACCTTTTGACTAACTCCCAAGTCATAGAGACTGTTAGTAGCACTTCTACTCTCACGATCTGTAGATACCACTGTGAACATGAGAAGGGTGTCCTCTGTCAACCACTGGAAGCATCCCTGTTATGGTACTTTTGCCTAGGAGAGAGGAGCCTGGGATCTGGAGAAGAAAATCTTTGGTGACAGAACAGGAGCGAAATCCAAGTTTCAAGAAAAATGTGTCCCCCAAAGCTTGAAGAAAGGTGCCCAAGAATTTTAAAAAGTCAATTATTTCTTCTCATAGCTTTGGTTGGCTGTCCTCTTAGCGCTTTCCAAGTATGCATTCTAAGTATCTGTTAAGATCTCTTATTTATCATTTCTATTTGAATACAGACAATGCCTTTGCATGCCTAAGGGGCTGCTTAAGTTAGTTCTGAATGGGGTTTAACTAGCAAGGTTGGCACTTTCGTATAATAAGAATCAACTTTGACTTGGAAAGGTAGACTGGGACCAATGATAGGGAAGGAGGAGAAAGTGACTCAACGGGAGTTTTCCAAACTGTTGCCCTCACATGGGACAGTGTTCAAAGAAACTCAACATTAGCTCAACACGGGTGGTGAATCTTAGTGAACAAGAGTTTTCAAAATCTGTCATCTGAGATTCTGGAGGGGTCCCTCAGAACCCTTACACATGTTTCATTCCCCACACAGTCTATTGCTTTTCCTGTGGTACAAGATTCTCTTGTTAATAGTTACTAAAGAGCTGCCAAACTCTGGTTGCTTCTGGGATTTAAGAAGGCAATAATAATAAACCGAAAAGTTGGGGGGGGGGTACAACGGCTTTCAACTTTTAGGCACTATCAAGTTCTCTGCTTAAGGACAGTCTAGGATGGAGCAGCTCGCAGATTCTGATGACACCTCGGACCCTTCCTCCAGTTTTCTAGTTGGCCTTCCACCTCACTGGCTGGCAGTGTTTATTGCACTGTTCCCTTACTGTCTGTCACCTTACAGTGTCACCACATGTATGGCCTTCCTCTTTGGTTACCCAGATCTAGGTCTCCTCAAGGATCGAAAGGATATCAGAACATGACACCAAGACTCTCAGGCACACTGAGGTGTACTGTGTAATCTTGTGAGCCAAGGCTTTGCGTCAGCCCAGTCAAATTTCTTACTCTTGTGGCTCTTATTGTAAGCTTATTTGGAAACAAAATTGGATAAATTTGTTTTGAAATATCTTCAATTTGTTCTCACCCTCCACTTCCATACAATAAGAAAACAGATCTTGTCAGCAAAGCAGTTTCTAGACTTGATCAAGAGTCGGCGAAAAATCTAGATTCTCACTGACTCTGCAAAGACCACCGTGGAAAAGATCTCCGTCTTTGTGAGGTTCTGAGTCTCCCAGATCGCCTATTTTTTTCCCTTCCCTAACACAGTCTCCTGGCATGAGTAAAAGCATCATCTCAGTAGTGCAACGCAGTGCAGTCATGCTTAGTGCAAAAAAAAAAAAAAAAAAAAAAAAAAAGAGAAAGAAAGAAAAGAAAAAAAAATCCCACAAACCAAAAAAACCTACTAAAAATGACTACACCCTCAAAGCTCAACCGTAAACAGCTCTTACTGAAGGTTACCAGTGCTATGAAAGTGGGAAACACAGCCCTTGCCTGACAATTGTGTGACTCATCTCTTTTGTGGCTCCTGTGTGTTTCAGCTCAAAGCAGAGAAAAAGCCAGCTTGTACCTCTGTATTATTCTGTAAGACATTAAGCCAGTAGGGAGAAAAGAAAGGCGTAGAGCTGAGTTGCAATCAAGGGATTAGTCAGAGGAGGAAAATGGCTACTCAATGCAAAGGTCAGTAGTGCTTTTCCTTAATGGTTTTCTCATGTCAGGTGACTGGAACTATGGGAGATGAGTACAGAAAGAAAAGTGAGAGCCTTTCTGTTTCCCAAAACTCAGTCCTAAATCTAACAGTCCAGGGCTCTATTTGAGTAGCAGAATCAGCTAGTCTTCAAGGTCTACAAGCAGCAGCCACCTTACATAACATCAATAGGCCCGTCTTCTGCATTGTTCGTTTTTTTGGCCTGGCTACACAAATACAGACATACATCCACACACACAGAAATTTGCAAGGCCTCTCTCAAAATGATGAATTTTAAATTGGTACAAATAACTCAACGACACTTATACAAAAAGTAGAACTATTAAATACAAAGTGAATTATTATTCTTAAATGCAGATTCTGTATTGTAACTTTCCTTGTATTATGCAGTTAAAAAAAGAAAACATTTGCAGTGGGATTTCTTGTGGAGCTTCTGTTTTACTGAAAGTTGACAAGGAGTCAGTTTGGGACGCAGCATGTGAGTCTGGAGAAGCACTTGGTATGTGATAATCCTTAAGAATCTATCTCCAGTATATCTGAACCCTCCCTCTGCACATGTCAATCTGCCTGACTGCTCCCAGCCACACATACATGCTGGCATTTTAGAAGAATCAACGTGTAGTGTCAGATTGAAAGAAACAAGGACATTTGGCATTGTGGGGGTTTTGAAAACAAAGTAAGTGAAGACTTTCTCTGCCATGGGTTTCTTACCCTTGCTTGCTGTGAGGGATGTGGACTACTAAGAGACTCACTGTTCATCTGACAACCACGATTCTTTAGCAATGGTGCAAAGTGGATTGTTATTAGATATGCCTAAGCAAATTATCCTCAATGTATTCTTTGATAGTCTCCTCTAAACACCTGAAGTCTAACTCAATGGGAGTAAGGATGAACACTAACTGCTCAAGCATCCTTGGGTATATTCTCCTTTGATTCTATTGCAGATTCCAAGCCAAGATTTGTCCCATGAAGAGCCAAGAGGAGAACAGCTACCTTTGTTTTGAAAGATCCCCTAGCTGTGAGCTACAGCACTAGGCTACTGCAAAACCTATCGAAGCACTAGTTCATTTTTGGTTATCTGAGTGCACACATCACATGTGCCCTGGACAGCAGATTAGGAGCAGAGCAGTGAAGGGTTTCTATACACTCTTTAGATAGTCTTGATAGCATGAAGAGAAGTCATGAATCACAAGAGTATAGTTATAGTAATTCTCAGAATAATCAAAAAGAGAGAGGGGAAGGAATGACAGGACGGGGTGAGATCATTCTTTGGTAACCCTGCGAACAGGTTTTAAGAATGTAGAATTGTATCAGTTTAGTTTCATTGATTTACTCTGCTCTCTCCCCTGCTTTCCTTCTGTTCCCAAGTTAGAGCCAAGAATTTAAATTATAGCATAAAAGCCAGGTTATAAAAAGGTTGTCAAGATATTTGTAAGTTAAGCTGAACTACAGAGTATTCATCAGATGAAGTACTATGGCCCCCTCCCCCCTTTTAAGTGTTTTTCTCTTTTGTGATGATGGGCATGGACAGGAGAAGCATTGGCAGTGTGGAGGAGATGCCCTGCTTCCATCCATCTCAGTGCCAGGCAGGGTTAGGATTGAAGTGAGAGTGGATGTTTCCATATTTCAGACCTTATTTAAGCTTAAAACGACAGGACTAAAATCCCTACCATTGTGAAAATGGACAGATCAGATGATATTTTATTAATTCTCACTCTTTTTTCTTTCTGGAAATTCTGTACTAGATACTATTTAAAAAACCCAATAAAAGAAAATACATTTATCCCCAGTTTTGCTCCCAAAAGAATGTGAGGAGGCAATGATGGTCTGCAGTACAAGAAGAATGACCTTCAGCAGTCAGTTCTGGTCTTTGGCCCAGACCTATTCGTTTAAGTAAAGAGAGTTTCTTCTTCAAGGAATTTTTGTTAACTATTCCATCCCTAAAGTGCAGAAAGAATCTCTCTCCTCAAAGATCTATGTGACAGCAGAAAAGGAACACATGACTTTCATGAGAAAGGACTTCTTGTAGGAAGAGTGAAGGCTTTCCTAAGGGACAAAAGACCACTGGGGGGGTGGGCAGCAGTCACCTGATGTGCAGGGACAGCATCAAATTAGGGAATCAAAACATTTCCCTAGCTGAATAAGAAAGACATAAAGGAAAACAAATCAACAAACAAACTACTAAAATACACATTCCTCCAGTTTCAAATTTCTATGAAGTTAAAATTATGATTAAATCAAGGTTTACAGATAGCAGACAACTGTTTTAATGTGTAAAAGTATTGTCCCTTTGCTTTACCATGTTTCACTTTCTTTGAAGGAATTGCATCCATGCACACTTGTCCTAACGTCCAGTGCAGAAAAGAAACTTGTTTGCTACCAGCTTCAATTCCAGAACATTTTCTAATCTACATTCACAAAACTAAAACTACTTAAGTGTAAAATGAGATGCAGGTTTTCTGAAATGTGTTGGGAGAGGTATGCAGGCTTTAAAAAAACATTGGGTAAAAGAAGAAAAAAATCATTTGTTAATCTCTCAAATATAAGCCCTAGTGTTTCTGACCATTATTTTGCTGCATTAGTTATTGTTGGGGCTGTTGGTGATCTTGACAGGTGCCAGCTTGTAAAAACAGGAGGCTCCTGAGCAGTAAGAATTCACACCCTGGAGCCTCTAGAATATTAAATAGGATTTAGACATTCATCTGTGGCGATCTTAAGAGGTTGTAGTGAGAAATCCTGGGCCTTAGCATTGGATCTCTTGGAGAGCCTAAAGGAACTAAGGCAAGAAGGCAGCCTGGATTAACTGGACCGAATGAGATCTTTCCAATCCAGACCTCTCCCACTCCACCCTGCACTTGAGATGACCGAATCTTCTATGCCTTCAGACGGCAATGCCAGAGGACAAGGGTTCTTTAGATACAGAGTACTTCCAAGAGAGATGGCAGGAGCCCCAAATGGGAAAAGGAAGAGATGAAGGTAAGACTAGGTTGAAGGACATGCCAAGCAAAGGTCACAGTCTTCAGAACTGTAAACATTAGCCTTTAGACATGGTGACTTCCTGAGAGATGCCTGCCTCAGGAAGGCTTCTGAACTTGCCATTTCTCTCATGCAAAGTGATGCTACACACTGTTTTAAGACAAAAGCTGGATCAAGCCTCAAGCCAAATGACAGTTTTCATATTAAGTGTGGATTTTGAGTGTCAAGGTAGAGCAAGAAGTTGAGTGTCTGTGCATTGCAAACTGTCACACACTCCATCTTGATATGAGCAGAGAGACAATGTGGTATCACAGCAAGTGAGGGTGATGTACTAAAGGGTCACTGTGAAATGATAATACAAGTATCCTCAAAGGGCTACACCCACAATGGCTTCAGTCTTCTTCGTGGAGTCCAGAAAGCTTCAATTTGAATGAGCTCTAAAATGATGGCCAAATAACATCCTGTATTTATAAATTGAGTCCTGCACATCTAATCTAATACAGGACCCAGTCAGCCTTATTCTTGTTTTTTTGTTTTGTTTTTAACATATGCCATGTCAAGGTAACTTTTGTTTATCAAACAGGAATTTGATAAACTTATAGATCTTTTATTCCTTAATAAATTACCCCTCAAAGTTTTAGACCAACCAATATTTGGCTTTTCACAAATGTAATACAAGAAGAAATTCTCTCAAACTTTTCTTACATCAAAATTTTCTTACATTGCATTTGAATGGAAGTGGCTTTTGGCATGAATAGCTACCAAAGGCTTTTTTAATTGTTACCCACTTCTTCAGATTCTTGTAAATCTAGTATCTGGCAATCATGTCATTGGCTAAGTATTAGCACAAGCAGAAATAATCAATATGGGAGCTTTTTTTCCTCCCTCAGAAATGGTCTACTCATATCAAGAATCTGAAAACTGTGGTATTAAAAAAACAGAAAATACTTATCTTTGGTTTAATGTAAAGGTGAGAGGAATTAATGATCTCAACTAGTACAGTTGACATTTAAAACTGTGACTCAGGTCCTCCTACTCTCAAAAGATACTGACAACCTTTAAAATCTGAAGCTGAAATGAAGACATTCTTCATTCTGCCTACGAGTCTCAAGTTTATGAACTTGTTTAAAGAAAGATGCTAAGAAGAGTGGGAGAAGAAAGACATGAACGGCTGGGGGGTGGTCATAATGTAATATTTGGGGGGAAGCATGGAAGAGATGATTGGGTAGCTCAAAGTTATCTTTAGAAAGAAACAATAAGAAACCTGGAGAATTTGGCAAGGAAAGGAAACCAAAACTAATGGAGCTGGGACAATTGACCTCATACCTGATCACTGAAGGCACACCCTCACTACCATGATTTCCAGCTGCCATGTCTTCCACTGAAAATAAATAGTTTCCTACTAGACTCTAGTTTAGTGTCGTCGAAGGAGACTGAAGGAAAGATCCTGAATGAGTGCCAGGCTTCACAAGTGGAAGATGCTAAGGAGAGTCTGGGAGAGCTGGGGGCAGACACTGAATCGGCACAGCAGAATGTGATGAGACTCAATAATTGATGATGAAGACTGAAGGCCAAAGTGGTCTATTCACACTGAGAAGCCTACATACTGGTCCACCACGCGGAGGTTCTACACTTCATTTTGCCATGAATACAGAGTGTGAAGGAGGAAATGGCATTCAGTTGACCTGATTCTGATGTTCAGACGTTTGGTGGAATGGATGGGGGCAGCTGAAGAAAGTTTTTACTTGAAAAGATGACCTGAAAGTGCTCTTTTAGAAATCAGGCTATCTGATTTCTGAATGCCCTGTTGGTAGCCTGGCTAGAGAAGACAGCAAGTAGAAGTGCTGAGGGCCAGGTAACCAAGAACCATCAAGGTGTGGGGTCTACAGGCTGGAAACTGTCATGTATGTTTTTGAGTTCTGTTAATAAAAAGTTTCTAGAAATGTGGTTTTAGTTTAAAAATAAATCTCCTGGGAAAATGAATAGCATATTTCCAAGATGCCTCCAGGGAATTGCTGAAGACTAATGAAAATAATGGTAGGCATAACAAAAAGAGAGAGCGGATGGCGAGGAACCAATACTGAAAACCAATAGTTGCAGATACCGTCAGGAGAGTGAGGCATTTCCTTGTCTTTGCCTCTCACCAAAACAGCCCTTTGAAATGCAGCTTATGATAGTTGGTCAGATCATGTGACAGACAGGAATCTCCTTGGTCTTTTTAAATCAAATGTAGATAATGGTGGTGCTAAAGGGGGAGATCACAGATATGTTCAAGGGCGCTTCCTTTGTTCTGCAGATGTTGACACGGTTGGCTAAACAAGAACACATGGAATATGAACTTCTTTGTATAAGCCACAGCAAACTAATTTTTAAAAGTTTAAACAGTTTTCACTTTCCTACATGTGCTAAGTCTGAGCTTTAAAAAAAATTATAAAATCTTCTAAAGACAATACTGAAGCTGATAATATAGAAAGCAAACTAGAATCTTCTAAAGACAACACTGAAGCTGGTAATATAGAAAGCAAACTAGAGTCATAACGAGAATTAAATGAGCCATATTAACTGCATCAGGTGGTGATGGGTGATATATATGAAGAAATGATATCTCAATAAACTCATGATCATTGGCAGATTCAAAGTTAAAATGAATACAATGGACTATATTTCAATATAGAGTTGTTATATATAATGCATATGTTCTAGGTTTCAGAAACACTGCAATGTAGTGTATTGTACTTAAGTAAGCATATCTAAACAGTAACCATAGTCTTCCACAGAGTCACTAGTACTGTTAATTAAAACAATAAAAACAAAAACAAGAACTGAACTTTTTTCCAGTAAAAAGAAATACTGTGGTTATGGTCACAGACTTCTTTTGGATACAGAAAGACAACACACATTTGGAAAAATAATAACCAACAAAAAAAAATAGTTGCAATGGTAAGTAGCCTTACAGCATGGGGGAAGGGAAAATGCCACTAAAACATAAGAGGAAAGAAAGGTCCTCTGAATTCTGTAAAGCAGAAACAATCTGCATGTTACCAAAAAAGGGGGGAGACGAAACCACCTAGTAAAAGAAGGGCATGGGAGTGAGAAAACTAGATCCAACTGTTTCCAGGTCATCAAGTCATCAGGAGTTACCTATGAGAGCCAAGTCCAGTCATTCAATATAGTATATTAAAGTAGCATTCTGCTTTCATGTCTGACATAGTCATGAGCCACTGACTCTTACAGATTCCCCTCGAGATACCCCTCTGATACTCTATTGGTTTGCTGGACATGGTAAACAGCCCATCCTGGAAAGACTCATGAAGGCCACAGCTTGTGAATGATAGAGAAGTCCTGCAGATGTAGGCAGCATCATGGAGTTTCAGTTTGGGAGCAGGACTCCCATGGAGTTCCTGTGTGTGAGTGTGTGCACATGCTACAACCTGGAACTTCATGCCTGGGGCTAGGTTTTATCTATGATCTGCAGACCATGTTCCTTCTCTGAAGCTTCCAAGGTTCCCGAGAGGACAGGAATGGCCTTTGAGCTCAGGCTTAGCCCTGGGATGCCTGAGTGCTACCTGACTAGGTGGTGTCTCTCCTCTGGGAGTCCTGTGAGGTGCCCTGGATGGCTCCCTCTGGTCTGCCTGGTTGAGTATGTGTACTCCACCCTCTTCTGGAGGGAAACAGCCTGTCCCAGTGGGTTTGCTGTGGAGCCAACAAGCTGCCTTTGTTTCTCCCAACTCTGAAATGCTACAAAAAGCAACAGAGTGGGCAGGTGACTGCTTCCTGGGAAGAGAGCCATGAGTTTGAGCACAATGGTAGAAGAGGCAACTGCACCAGGAACTCTGCCTGTGTGTGTTTCATTTGAGAGACGCACACACACTCAGACAGCATAAATACACAAACATACGAATGTGTGTAGCCTTGTGCACACACACACTTGCACGCACACACACATTCACCAGTAAATCCACAGAAGTGTAGCATTTGTTCAAGTTTCTCCTCAAAAGGCTATACACAAACTACTGACAGTTGGGCTACTTCCCCATGCTCTAAAGCCTCATCACAGATACTGATGCACCCAAACAAGGTAACAGAACAGAAAGCAGATGTATGCACAGTGCCAGGCCCTGGACTCTAGCTGGAAATTTCCAAGTCTACGCTGTTGTCAGTGGAGAATATAAATGAAGTGTCATGGTATGAGCACCTCACACCACGTATGCACATGTATAAGGTGCACTCATCTACAGATATTCTGGCCAGCAGCTGTGACAAACTGGATGGGTTAAGCCACTTTTTTTTTTCTTATAAGCATCTGTGTGCAAAAGACTGATGCTTCAGGCTACAACAACTGCTGTAACAGCAGTAGAAACAGATGTCTGGGGTGGGGGATAATTCTTTTCTCTCTGCTGCAGGAGTATCAGAATTTCATGGAAGTACTCTGAACCAAGAAACCTCTCAATTCGCAAGAGATCCAAGGGGAGACTATTTCCGGGCATTGCCGAGACTGGGACTTCATGACTCGGCTCACTTTTGTCTGTGATCTGCAGGTGATGCCTCTGCACTAAAGAATTGAAAGTTTTGATTCTGCATTCAAACAAAGACACACAAGAGAAGCCAAATGCACTCCATAACTGAGGTGGAACAAAGTGCAGACTGTAGAGATACCGATTATATAAAAAAAGAAAGCTGTATGTTGGGATCGTTCTCCCAGTTAAGGAGACATTTAAGAGTCATCCAGGCACCTGTGATTGTGTTTAACGGGACTTGCTACTTAGCAACATGCTTATTTTACATTCAGCCTCGACCTACCAATGAAATAGAGTAGACAGGAAATAGCTGCTTCCTGAAAGCAGCCAGTTCCCCTACAAGTTTGGTGCCTCCCCAGGAAGTCACTGTTTCCATAGTCCTCAGTCATGAATAGAGCTTATTTTTTTGTGTGTGTGATTATGGAATCATTAAAAAGCAAATGTCCCTATCTCCACAGCCTTTTCATTTCTGTATTTTTTTTTTGTCTGCTTTCCTCCAGGGTTTCTAATTTAAGGCAATAATTCTACAACCTAATGCTTTCTTGTGAAAATTCCTTAGCTGATGTTACTTCAGTATTTAGTCTGTGGAGCAACAGGTGGGGTCTAAAGAAACCATGAGAGAAGGGCAGCTGTCAGTCAGCCATGGTTAAGACACTAGTTTTAGTCCTGGGCCTTTCTAGTCCTCCTTCAGTGGGGAGGAGACACTCGGTTCTAAAAAGGAATTTGTGGCCTTCATCTTTGCCTCTTCACCTTAGAGAGAATGGGAAGTCCCACAGCCACTCCTGGGACCTAGTAATGCACATCACTTACTGCTGTGGGTTCAGTGGTCAAGCAGAACAGCATCTTAAGAAACTTAGAGACCTCCTTGGGGGATTTGGCTTGGGATGATCATCGTGCTAGAAGTGATGTTTCGTGTTAGTAACTTGCACATGTGCAGTTTTACAGGAACACAGCCTGCCTCTTGTGGAGGTTTAGGACGTATTAGAAATGGTAACTCCACACACAAAGCCCTTGGGAATACTTAAGGATTTTCGTGTATGGGCTGAAGCTCTTCTGGGGCAGCATGAGTACAGGGCAGAGCCTGCTTCTGGAAGTTTTCCCCATTCCACCTATTTCCTGGGCACCTGAGAGAACAGTCCCTTTTCCTTAGACAATCACAGAATGAAGGAGGAGGTTGTCAGTTATGCCCAGCCCCAGAAAGCCAGCAGCTGGGTCAGCTCAAGCACTCTGTCCCCTCCCAGCAGACTGGGAGTCTGGAGCTGAGAGGCCCTTGGGTAGCTTTGCTATTTTTTTCTTTTCTATCCAATTGGGGAGTCTATTGAAATTCTAGTGTCCCCTTTCTTTTGTTTGTCACCAACTCACATGGTTCTGTCTTTAGTGTCCTATTTTTCTTTTCTGTCTTTTTAATTTTTTTCTTTTTTTTCTCCTCAGGGGACAAAATTGGCCGTTTAAATAAAGTTCTTTTCTAGTGAGTAAAGAGGTTTCTCTGAGCCAGAAATCACTCAAAAGAAAGTCTGCGGACCCTGCCCATGGAAAAGGCTGGAAGTTTCCCTAAGTACCTCTTGCCAAACTTCCTAGCTTTGTGATTGGATGTTTTCTGGTTTGGTATTGTTGGGTACTGAATACATTGTGCAATTCTTTTGTTCTCTTCCCCAGAGCTTCCATTACCCTGAACTTCAACTCATTACTAAGTTAAAGAACTCTTTTTGGAGGGTTTCTTTTAAGAGTCAAGTCGCAGCAGAAAAGGCACCCACCCTCTGTTCTCTTCCCCTACAGGACATCTCCTGTCTGCTCCTGGCCTGCGCCTCTTTGTTCCCTTGCTGCAGCTGCCACACTGAAGAGCCAGTCTGATGTGATCTTCGGTAGAACCATGTACTCCCCATGAGCAGCCCTAATGAATCAAGCAACTCCTTCTGCAACGTCGGGGGAAGGCTCAGAATGGGCATGTCTGCTATTCGTCCTGGCCAGATGGATGTCACTTTTGTCATTCCTCAGGACAAAGGTGTTGGGAGTCATTTTAGAGGATTGCAATGGAAAAGCAACAAGGAACTTCGCTGTGTTTTCCTGGGCACCAGGGGTGTTTTATGGAGGCACCACTTCCTTTTTAACTTCTATGCTGAAAGAAAACACTGCTTTGGGGGCTTGAGCAGGGCCATGCTGGCGTGTGAGATGGAAGCACATGTAGATCACGACAGGAAGACTGACGCGGAAACAAGCATGCCCAGAGGAAACCTTTTCTTGCTCTTTAGTCTCAGACACGGACTCTCCCTGTTCATGGGTTGGACATGGTTTTCTTGATCTTACATGATATGATAGAAAATGAAGCTCTCTGACTTGTAGAGAAAGAGGCAAACCCAAGTCTTTCTAAGGCCAAGCGCTACTGTGATCTAGATAGGGAGACAGGAACGGTCCACCTGAGGCATGAGCCTTGGCAAACAGAACTGGGCTGGGGGAGCCTGCAACATGGCTGTGAGGAGTGCAGTCTACAAAAATGAGAAGGCTCTGATATGGACTTTCATTTTAGATTACGGGGGCTTGTTTCTCCGTTGTTTTTAATTTTAGAACTGACCATCCATTAGTTATAATTATTGTCTTTTGGGGGGTTTATTTTACAGGAAGGGGTTCTTTTTGTACAAATGTTGGTACTTAATACAGGAAAAACTACCCACATGCTGAGACACTATCAATGTTTTTAGTGCTAGGGAATTTAACTTTCATAATTTCTATGTGTTGAGACAAACATTCCTCACTTTTTTTCTGTTTTGTATTCAACAAATTCCATTTAAAAATCATAGATTGTTTAAAAAATTATACTAGTGTTCTTTTGCATACCAGCTCTTATTCTCTGAGTTTCTCTTAAGGTCTTCTGCCTAGAACATCTACTCCTATCTCTTTGTGTGCTTGTGTGTATGTTTTCCTGAATACAAAAAAAAAAAAAAACCCTTTTCTTTTCTAGTTTTAAAAGCACTGACAGCATCCATCATCAAAACTGTAGGACTGGAAGTCAAAAGGTGAGAAGACTCTCCCTCACCCCTCTCTTACTGTGATTGTGAGACAGCGATTGTGCGTGGGCAATCAAGCACCTGTATCTTTTGGAATAGGTGCAGACAGCTTTATCTTCAAAACTGTGGGTCAGTCTGAAAGCAGCCCTTATAGGCTAGAAAATAGCTTAGCCATGAAGAAGCATCCTTGCTTGAGGGCTCCACTGCCGATATGGTGGTCTCCCAGTTCTAGAGAACAATGTCAAATGTTTTAGGTTGTGAGATATTTGGGAGAAAAATAAATACAATTGAATGAGCTAGACAGTAGGACCTTACCAAAATTCTTTAGGGACCTCCCTACCCTTTTTAAAAGGAGGCACTCCCTTTAATAAGAAAAGGGTATGTACCAGCGTTTCCAGTCACCTGCTCTTTTCCTCAGTACTCTACAACAGATGTTGGAGTTTTAACCCAGTTGCTTAGCTTCTGACAATGGCAAATGTGCGTTAAGGCAAATGGGTCTCTTTCAGATTTAAGAAGTAGATGGGGAAGTGTAGCCCAACAGCACTCAAGGTAAGTTTTCCCAAAAACAATATGAATTCTGCTACTTTGCTAAAGTTTGAATAGAGGCATTTTTTAAATATACCCCTGACAACAGTAAAAGTAACTAAAACCAGGTTTTGACCTCCTTTCATTTGTTTTATATGATGAGTGATTTCATGTCTTTTTTTTCCCACCAGATTAAGGAAAACTATCACAATGTCAAATCTTTGTTTTCCTAATGGGCTAAACAACACATTTTTGAAATTATCAAAATGATTCTTCTATGATGTAGTTACTTAATGCTCCCTCTGTTGGTGGTAAGGAAACATGAAGTCACTACTGACCCTTTCAGTAGCAAAACCAGCAGGCCATGGGGGGGGGGACCTGCCACATTTTTGAAGCTCATTTTTAAAACAGATCACACACATTCTTGGTTGTCCTCTTAGAAATCACGATGCATGGTACTCAGTAGTCAGCTAACCATCCAAATGCACATTACAACTTCTAGCAAAATATCCACTGAATGAAGCACCATAAGATCGACTCAAACTCCACAAACACTCCAGTTGCACAAACTACTAAACATCACAAAGAACGTATGGAAAAGATCCAAGTTAACCAATTGTCTAAAATATATGAATAAAACCAATTACAGAGTTGCTTGCCTTGGAAAAATTTCCCTCGTTTGCTGCATTTTTTTTGTAAATAAAATGCTAACAGGAAAATTAGGAGGAAAATTAAATTAAAATGTAGAGCAATTTAGAAACGAAAATATCCTCTCTTTTCTTTTTAAAAATGTAGTTTGGTGTTCCTTCATTATTGGAATATTTACTTCTCTTTTTAAGTATGCTAAAATATGCCCAGTCATGAAATTACTTTCCCAGTATTAGCTAGGTTTAAAAAGTCCTACTTTTGAGCTGGAATCCGTTCAGGACACTATATATAATTGGAAAATCTTAGGATTTCTTGATCAAGACCAAGGAGAGAGATCTCAACTAGAAAGAGTGGCATCTGGGATAGTGCCCACGACCCAGAGCCTTTTGAAAGCTGGCTGCCAGCATAGGGAAGTTGGGTTACTAATCAACTCAAGAGGGACCATCCTATTGGCCCTCTTAGCCATGGTGGGAAGAATCCAAAGGTGATGTTTAGAGGAAGAAAGAAGTTTTGGCATCAATGCATTGTGGTTTGTAACAGGCTTCTCAGAGTGACGTTCACACAGTGGAGGATAGAGTTTTGTGGAGTCTTCCGCCTGGCTGACCATAAAAGAAACAAAACCCTTTGTCAAGATCTCTAGACTACTAGTGTTTCGTCAAAGAGAAAAAGCAAGGTCAATGGAAATTCTAGAATCCTAAGAGCTCAGTGAAATTTTGGGGAAGAAATCTGCTAAAGGGTCATGTCCCTCCCATGAAAAAGGACAGAATTCTAGATGGATTGATGGAAAAATATTCAGGGGAGCAACTTAAGCTTGCTAGAAGTCAAAGATCTACACAGCAAAACAGAGCAGCAGCTGAAATTACAGCAGGGTGGGTGGGCCTCTGCGGCCCTCAGCAACCCAGGCAATACTTAAAATAATAAAAAACTAAGAAAAAAATATGAAGAAAATATCCTTCCTCTCTTTCAAATATAACTTTAGTTGCCTTTTATTCTTTCTATCTGGAAGCAGTATCGCTAACCTTAACAGTCTTGACTTACCAAAATATATATATATATATATATGTGTGTGCGTGTGTGTGTGTGTGTGTGTGTGTGTGCGCGTGTGTGCGTGAGTCAAAGTAAATGAGAAGGGATTGGTGGCAGTGTATGCAAAACCAAAAGGAGAAAAAATTACTTTTGACAATCTTACTTTTTGGTTTTTTTTTTACACAAATACTGTTGTAAATATATTTAAAAAATCAGCATTCTATCTGGTAAACATCACTTTTACCCCTCTATAAAATTTTGAATTAAAAAAGCCTCAAGAACTTTTATCGCCCCCCCTCCATTTCTCTTTCTTTTTCTCTTCCACAAGAATATATCCTGACACTTTTTTTTGCAAAGGTTGTTGGAAATAATCCTTCTCTTGTACCTAGAAGCATAAGTGTGAAATCTGTTATCGTTTTCTCTGCATTCCTGCCTTTCATGAAAGTCCCTCCTGATTGCGCTGAGGCTGAGGCTCAGCGAAGACACTGAATAAATACGATAGCCACTGTTGCTTGTTGCTTGTCCAAGTCTTCTGGCTTCTGCTGAAAGGGTGGGGGATGTGAACGAGTTGGGCCAGGGTGTGTGGACCGGGCAGAATTGGGGGAGAAGCCTGCTGCCACTTTCTCCCCACACCACTGGGCTCCCTGCCCCTCCCGTCCCACAGCCCTTTAATAACGTGGCAGGTGGAAACAGCAGGGCCTTTCCTCTCGGTTTTCAACCAGAAGTGATATTCCACAGTTTTAACTGGTTACTGTGAAGTCCAAGTGGCCAGAATTGTGGAACGTCCACTGAAACACTGTGAGCGGTGTACTTAGAGACAGCCTTTTACATCTCCTTATAGATGTTGTAGTGCTCTTCACGAGTGGAAAACAACTTTTTCTTTTTTTTTTAAACTTTTTAACTTTTTTAAAAGATTTTTTTTGTTTTGTTTTTGTTTTTTTGTGTGTGTGGTTTTTTGCTTTTTTTGTTTTTGTTTTGTTTTTTTGTTTTGTTTTGTTTTTTGTAAAGAAGGGTTGTATTTAGAGGCCAGTAGCTAGAGATCCAACCAGTGGACCTCTTGAAGCACTACCAGGCCTTAAGGCCACCATCCAAGGGAGACTGGGAAAACTATCATTCACCCGAGCCTCCGGAAATGTAATGTACCAGCAGGCAAAATACAGTTCTTCATGTAGTACAAAATGAAACGGAACAAAAACAAAAACAGAAAGTAAAAATGAAACCAAAACATTTCTTAAATTCTAGTGCCATAGCTTTTTGTTTGTTTGTTTGTTTATTCTTTTGTTGTTGTTTTGTTTGGTTCATAAGAAAGAGAGAAAGGTACTACTTATCCGTCAGACACATGCATCCTCATGTGGTCGTTGAACTGCTCGATTTGGTCAAACTTTGCTGGGCAGACGGAGCAGACGTAAGTGGTCCCCTCAGTGCAGGCCACCACGCCTGGTGGGCCCGCGCGGGCACCTGGGGGTGTGCCTGCTGGAGGGGTCCCGTTGCTGGCACTGTGCAGGGCCACATGTCGCTCCAGCAGGGTCTTGTGGGAGAACTTCTTTTTGCAGATGTAGCACTCATAGGATTTCTCCCCACGGTGCAGGCGCATGTGCACATTGAGGGAGCTCTTCTGGGTGAAGCGCTTGTTGCAGATGCTGCACTGGTAGGCTCTCACTCCTGTGTGTGTCACCATGTGCTTGATAAGGTAATCCTTCAAGGAGAAGGAGCGCCAACAGATGCTGCACTGGTGCGGCTTCTCACCTGTTGACGTGGGAGAGACAGCAAGCAGAAGAGAACAGGACACAGCCAAAGGGGGAGAATGAGACAGAAGAACAAGACAACAAAAGAGAAAAACAAAAGATTTAAAAAATAAAATTTGACGGTTTCAGGAATCATCATCCTTGGTTGGAAAGATCTAGGTCTTCCTGGCCTTTCTTGTTCAGAGGAAGGAATCTTGCTCTAAGGATACCAGGAAAGTCTAGTCTTTTCCATTTCCCCATGACCAAAAGTGGCTCTCTTGGAAATTAACAGCATATTACTACCCAACTGTTTTTAAAAAAGGCTAAGAGAGTCATTCTTGGTACCATTATTAAAGACTTACATATTTCCAGTTAATATTAGCAAACAAATATAGGAATTAAGAGAATATCTTTGGAGGCAGGGCTATTGGTCACAGATCTTGGTTCTTTTTGGAAAGTCTCCATTTCCACCTTTTGGCCTAATAAATGACTATAGGCCTGGACTGCTGGTCCACACGTTCAGTTAATCTGTGTCTCACACAATCTTCCTGGAATGAAACCTAAGAGTGAACTGGCTGTTGTGCAGACTGGCCTCACTGGCTGTGGAAGCTCAACAGACAGATGGTGGACCACTGTTGATCTCTGCGTCACATGGTCCTGTTCAAGCACAGGCACCAACGCACTGTGCACCATTCTAACAAATCACCAAGAGCCTCCGAGGTATATAGTCCTACTTACCTCATTGTGACGGTGTTGACATGAAACACATATGGAATCACTTTGTAGACCACCAAGGGTGGTGTGGGAATACTTGCATGGCATTCTTATTACAAGGCTACATCCTCCCCCATTAAATGGTTCCATATGGTTTTTTTGAACTTTTAGGTCAATTTCTAAAATAGTTTTTTTTTCCTGTCTATTTTTTTTTTCTTAGCCAGCTGGCACAAGCCCTTCTTTCTTGTGTGTTTACTGCTTTGTCTACCACTGGCTCTGAAACCAAATGATGTTGCTAGTTAAAACTAGCAAGGCAAGACTAGTCACTGGATGGTGACATGAGGGACCCTTCTAGAAGAAAAGCCCATCGGTCTGGGACATCACTTTGGATAATTGCTTAAGGACTAGTTTTTGTTAGCAGCATTGGCTTTCAATACTTGCTGCTTTCTGATTTTGATGGTTGGTATGAACTCTCTAAAGGGCACGGCCTACTTCTTCCATCTCATTACTGATAGCCTCAAGTAGGCATTTGCTTCAGAGTTGCCCAAAGCCTCAAGCCTGAGACCCTCTAAGGTAATGTTTCATCATCTGAAATGTGCAGCGGGACAAGGGATGTGATCTTAAAACTGAGTTAACCCCATTTACACAAGGGCCTTGACCATTGTCCTCATCTTTCCATCCTGAAGGAGGCTGATGTGCAATGGTAACAATAGCAATAAAACAAACACCTATGCACTGGATATTTATTATACCAGGTTCTGGATCGAATGCTTCATATTTATGTTTCACCTTGTGGAACTTTCTCTCATTATACAATTTTCTTGCTATTTTCTAACATGAGGGTGCTTAAGTTGAAGCACTTTAATGGCGAAGTATGATATACAGGAACCCAGGGCTAAAAGAGAATAATTTAATTTTTAGATTCCAATAGGAGAATCTGGGGAGGACTTATTGCTAATAAGGCCAGCTTGCTAAAGAGCTCAGCCTATGCATAGTGTTTACATTGGTAAAGCTTTTGTAAACGAGAGATTCCCTTAAAGACAATCATGCATGCTATTTTTAGTTGAGGCGTTTCTGTCAGCTGTAAACATGCTTGCAACTCAGCTGGTCTTTGCTATCCTCGTACTTTCAGTGCATTTTATAGTGGCTATGAGAAGCTGGCAACTATCTCTTAAAACATGTCCACCTGTCACCTTTAATGGGAAGTGTGCCTTAAATTGCAGATGGTATTTTGGCTGGTAGGAAGGTGAAACTCCCTGTTAAAATGCTCTTGCTGTTTGCAACTTTCACCTCTGACGGCTTTTCCTCTAGGCAAGGTCACCGATCAAGGCTCTTTCCTTTCACACCCTTCTCATCCAACTATAAATTGATTCTGCACAGTTGTCATCTTTCCCTCCATCTCATAGAGATGTACGTTGTTTGTATGCATGTAGTATGGTTATGCCAGTAATTACTTGTGTGACCCTGGGCTTTTTAAGTGTTTTCATCTCTCTGGGTTTGTTTTGCCTTCCGTAAGTGACAAATTGGACCAAGCACTTGCTGTGGCTCTGTGGATTTACTGGTCTTCATCTCAGGGTGGTCCACAGCCCCTGAGGCCTCTACTCCTGGCCTTGTCAGCAAATGACCTGAGGGCAACCTGCTTAATCACTCAATACTTGGGAAGTCCCACATCTTTAAATAGGACAAAGTATCTGGTGATCTACCCTGCCAGAGGAAAATGGAGTGCTAGTTAATGAGAGAGGTGCACAGAGAGCACCTGGGGGCCGCTCTGAGGAAGGTGCTCTCTATAATTACTCCATGACAGAGCTGGGCATTTCAGGGGCTGCCTGATGACCTGAGCGTATTTTCACTTCAGTCATCTGCCCGCACCGGCTCTTCTTATGTGGAAGGACTTCAAGCGTAACTTAGCAGGAATCGTAACATTTCCTTATCATCTTCCTTTCCTACGTACTACTTCTAGCAAACCTTAAAGGAAACGGGCCACTAATCAAGAAGCAAATGGTCTGTAGACTGTAGCTCTCCAAGTAGAGAAATGTGAGGTGAAGATGATCAACAGTCACAGATGGCTGGCTGGGTTTGAGCCTATGGTTCACATCAGCAAGTCTGGGCTGTTAGGAAAGGTCACAAAATGAAACGAGAAAATAGGAACCACAGCATGAAGGGCAGCAGGCAAAGGAGCCCTTTACTTTAAAGTGATCCACTCTGAAGGACTCAGAGGAATTCTTTTTCTTGGCTGAGGGACTTGGGCATGTTATCTAAGCTCTCTAAGCCTCAGTTTCCTTATCTTTATCTCAATAATAGCTCCAAAAGTGCATATGTGTGAACTTGTTTTGAAACATGGTGAGGCACAGCACAAAGTGCAGGTCATTTTAAGGAAAGCTAAACATTCCATTCAGCCTGTAGGAACCGAGGATAAAATAAACCAACTGAGAAGTCATTTCACCGCACAAGAAAGTAAACCCTGAGCTAAACAAAAGCCAAACCAAAATAAAGGAAATAAATTTTCAGATGAACCCTAAAGCAGGCTGTTCTGGTTGAAGCTAGCAATTAAAAGTGAAGCATATAGCCTACTCTTACTTAAACATGTTAGCGGAAGAAGTGGTACTATGAACAAAATGTCAACCCACAGCACAGGCAGAGTATTTCCTGCCCATCAGCAACTGAGCATTGGAGGCTGAGAAGCCATCCAGCAGGGGAAGAACCAGCGGAGAGGCCTATACTGGCTTTTTGAGGATGGAGTGGTGAAAGTTTATGTTTGCTCAATTTTTCAATGCCTGCTCTTTAACCCCTCAAGGACCAGCTCTGATACCTCACTTTATTACAACAGGCAAGGAAAAACATAAAGAGGAAGATAATGATTAGTAAGTAGATATAGAGAGTTCACACCGTTTCAGTGGAAGTCATCTTAACAGGCCCAGGCACCCTAAGTCTACACTGTGGTCTTAGCATTGGGGGCTCAGCAAGAACTCATTTATTCTACTGATTATTTCTTATTCTAGTCAGACTTTTCCTGTGCTGTGTAAAGGACAATGTGTGCAGTTTTCAGCTCTACCTGTGTCTCCTACTGTCTCTGCCTCTTCATCTTCTGCTGTACAATGCCTAACCTCTTCTTTGAGTGAGCACATTGGGGATTATTGGGGGTCAGAAAACCTAGACAGGATGATTGGTGAGGAATAAAGCAGCAAGGGAGGCAGGGGATGAGGGAATAGAGGTGTTCTGGGAAATACAGGTCCATTGAATGGTGGAAATGAAGACTGGATCAGAAAACAGGAAGAGGCTTGGTACCAGAAGTAGGGTATGTTCAAACCCAACAGCGTGGTGATTTCATTGATTGCAGAGCTGCTCTCCATCCAGAGGTATCTGGTGAAGGAAGGCATGTAGCAGCAGGAAGAGCTGGTATGGTCCCTGCTGGCCTTTCTGCCTAGTCCCTGCTGGCTGTCTAGGAAGGACTGCCAACTGGGGACATGCACATTCACAAACTTCTTTGGCTTCATTCATAACTCATGTATCTTGGTGATAAGCAGAATTTTAAATACTGGGGGAACTTTGTCTATATTGTCTGACCTCTTAAAGTGGTATGAGTGGGGCAGATATTAATACCTCAGAAAATGGTATCTCCTGTTACTTTTGTGCTAATAACCCCAAGATCACCCAACAAATGAGCAATAGCTTAGAGAATAAGTAAGGTAAGCCAGCACCCAACCCCTGCTAACTCCTCTTTCCCCTGTGAGTAGTTCCTTCCCCCTAGATCACTCTGGAAAATTCATGGTGTTTCTGTAATATCTATTCTTAAGTGGCTGTGATAATGTTACAGCATTTATAGTCTACTGCTTTTGTAACCATTACTTAACCCTCAGGGTAACCTATTATTACCACCTGAAAAACTGATTCAGCTTCAAACTAGAACTTACTTCAAGTCACTTAATCACAAAGTGGTAAAGCAAGGCTTTATTCCTCTAAAACTATATTCACTATCTTGACAGGACTGTCCAGTTCTTATATGGATGGTCAAACCACCGTCTTGTGTCTCTCGTAGCGTCCTATTGCTAACACGGACATGTTATAGCTATTACTCTTTCCACACTGAATTTATGGCTGAAAAAGCTGAGCTTCCAAAGAAGTGAGCAGAATTATCTTAAGTGCAAAGGATATCAATGGGCTTAAAAGTAACACCAACGGATAGGTTGTTGATAATATGATTCAGAAAAAAGCCAAAGAACCATAATTTGTTGGTGAGAAACCACAAGTGGGAACATAGATACCCCACAATATATTCTAAAACTATTTTTTTAAGAAAGAAATGTAAAAGTCGTGCGGAGAAAAGAATGCATTTATGTATAAGTTCCTTGAATTAAGTTCTCCTGGAAAGCATGTCCACATTTCTGAACATTCATTTACATACTCACTCAACAAACATTTGCTAAGAAACTACATATGCTAGCCCATATTCATTTATAGATTTTTTTTTAAGTAAAATGCCCTAAGTTTGGATCTTAAAAGAAAGTTCCACCTGGAGTTTCCAGATAAAATATATGACACCCAGCTAAGTTGTTTGCCTTGATATCCATGGCAACACCAAGGCTATCCTTATAACATCCTCAATCTCTGGCTTCTGATCCCTCTCGCTCCTTTATTTTGACCTCTGTTTTATCTCTTGATGGGAAACTGAGAGAGAACCCTACTTTGCTCCATGAAGGATGGCTGGTGCTAGCTTTCTTTGTCTCTATTTCTTTTGCTACCATGTTCAATACAGAAATACAGATGTACTTTCAAAACTGACAGTGCCAAATAACTCTAGAATGAAAGGACAAAGAGTTGTTTTTTTTTAAGAACTAAATGCCTGGTTGGCATAGGTATAATACTGTTTTCCAGATTTGTCTGTATTATATATATTTAAACAGCTTCAGAATTTACTGAGGACCTTAATCATTCAATGTATTGTGCGGACCACACTTTGAATACAGCTTGAGTTTATAAGAATGACTTTACCTATAGCTGTTTGCTTCTGTAATATAATAGGTGTGCAAAACCATTGCTGATTTTTATTATAGGCAAAGCTACTTACTTGGATCAACTACAAGGTTCCTTGGTGAATATACTGGAGAAATGCATTTATACATTGAAAAGACAATTTGGAGTAGGACAAGAGTTTAACGTTGCAAATTTAAGACCTTATTTCAATACATAATCTAACAGGATCTACATGTACGATGGGACTGTAGAAGACACCCACTAAAGAAGAAAGAAGATATGTTCATGATCCAAGATGAACAAAGTCAACTTTGGCTAAAGAGACACTTGCACAAATGGCTCTCCCACTTCTGCTAACTCTTAATTTTCATGGCTGTTAAATCATCCGGTTTTTTGTTTTGTTTTGTTTTGTTTTTTTGTGGAAAGGACAAACCTACTTGAGAGCACAGTTACAATATAATACTCCATAACTAAAAATGCTATTTGGTTAACTCACTTGATTAATTTCAGGTTATCCCTGCATTCACCTTTGCCCAAAGTAAACATAGAGACTTATCACTATCTAATTTTCTTTCTAAGTTCAGCAATGAATCTCCGTGTTTATTTGGAGGTGTGAAAACTAAAATTTAAGCACAAGTGATTGACATAGAACCACATACACTTAGCACCATGTCCTGCCTTAGACTGAACTACAAAGAAGGCAAAGTGCAGCTTAGGCAACCTTTCAGTTGCTCAATTGTACGTGTAATGTTTTATGTATCAGCAGCTCCCCTTTCTTCTAGGCCCCTACTTAAACGTATGTGCTTTAGAGCCTATCTGCTAGGTTTGTGCTAGTCCGGTGAGAGAAAAAAGGCTGCTCTGAGGAATGAATCCCCACCCCCTTAGGATTCAAGTATGAAAGTACTCCCTGACAAATGATTTTAGTTAACATAACTATTCCAGACTCAAAACTTTGCCAGGAAGAGTGACTCTTGTAAGAATTTCAAATATGAAGACTGTTGTTACAGTCATTGATTTTAGTTCTAAGAGAACCTGTGTGTAGCCATAACCACACTGACGATCTCTAGTTTCTACGGAGGCACTTCTATAGAGCTAGGGAAAGAAAGGGCAGGCTCAAAGTCTGCAGATCTCTATCTCTGGAATGGTGGAATCCAGGGAACCACTATCCCTCCCTAGTCCTCTGGGCAGTATCTTTATGAAACAATCCATTCTCTCTTCAAATTACAGGAGTCCAGTCCTTTGGAGAAGCAAACAGTTCAGATCAGTTTGGTCTGTTCAACCTTTTCTTTCATTTAGGTGAAAGACTCTATGTAGAGCTTTCAATGGCCCAATTCTTTTTTTTTTTTTTTGAGACAAATAGAATAAACTGAATGTCTCTTCTTCCCAGCCATCTTAATAATGGTCATAATAGATACAACTTATACAGTATTTACTATGCTGGGAACACCTTTAAGTCGCATGTGTTAATACAATTCTCAGAAACAGCACAAGGAAGGAACATCACTAAAATTCTCTCTCCTCCACTTCCCCTCCCCTCATAAGAGAAGGAAATCAAAGTTGAAAGTAGTTAAGTGATTCCTTCCAAGGTAGCACAGTTCAGTAGTAAGTAGCTGGGCCTGAGTTCCAGGCTGAACAGTCTGTCTCCAAAGAGCAGGGTTTGCATTTACACTGTGTCACCTCCAAAACTCAGGTGCTTGAATACAATGTGATACCCCGAGTCTTCTCTTCTACAGGCTGCACACTCTTAGGGCATCCCTTTTTCATAAAGGGCTTTTATGATTCGGGGTACTTTAGTTCTATGATGGATAGACTAGACTTCTAGAAGGGGCCCATGGTGGGGTTTCTCTGAAATCTGAAGGATGACTCCAATCCTTCCCTTCTGCCTGTCATCCTGTTCTGCCCCTCCCACAGCCCTCCAGACCCCACTGCCTAGCCTTCAGTGGCACTCACCTGTATGGACGAACATGTGCTTGACATAGTTCTGTTTGGCTGTGAAAGTCTTGTTGCAGAGAGTACACTCATAAGGCTTTTTTTCGCCTTGCCCACTGGCTGTGCTGTGGCCTGCAGATGACGCCAGGGGCTGTGGCGCTGGCAGCTGTGCAGTAAAGGTGGACAGGCCGGGCTGGGACACTGTCACAAACTGGGTCTGCTGGCCTGTCAGGGGCTGTGGCAGGCTGAAGAGAAAAGGCTTGGGGCCACTGCCCGCAGGCTGGGTAGTGAAGAGGGCTGGCAGGTAGGTGTTGCCAGCTGTGCCAATGACCTGTGTGTTGCTGGTCAAGGTCAGAGGCATCCTCAGGTTGCTGGTGAGCGTTTCTGTCTGGCGTAAATAGAGCTGGGTACTTGGCAACGGCTGTCCAATGGATGTGTTGACTGAAGGCTGTTGTAGGACGCCCTTATCAGAGCTGTTACCGACAGTGATGACTGTGTTGTCCATCTCCGCCTCGTTGCTTCTCTCTGGAGAGGAGGCACCTGTTTCTAGCTGGTTTGGCTGGGCACTGCCCTCAGCTGGGGCTTCTGCTGCCTGCTCAGGTTGGGCGGGTTCCGCCTGACCCTCTTTTGTGGCTCCTGCCCCAAACTGATGTTCCACTGAGTCAGGTTCGGTGCCAATAGAGGAGCTGACCCCGGAATCAAAGCTTTCACCTTTGGGCTCGCTCTCTGTGCCCTCGGCCTGGTCAGTGTCTTCTGTGCACTCCTCGGACTCATTGCGTTCTAGGATCTGCACCCTTTGCTGCCCATAGTAGTCATAGTCATCTTCCATTTCCTGCTTAATGTGGATGTTGCCCACTAGGGTCTGGATACGCACAGGCCGGGGCTGCTTGCGGCAGTGCGTGGTCTCAGGGGTGGTGGACAGGTAGCGCTCCATCTGCTGGGAGCGCTCATGGATGCGTGTGATCCAGCTGGGGTCTTCCATGTGGTGGTCACGGGGCAGGCCGAGTGCAGTTTCGTGGTGGCTGACCACGGCACCGCTGTAGAAGGAGCGCTCGCCGCTGCCATTCTGCATGGAACAAGCGTAGAGTGCCGAGTAGATGCGGTCCACACTGTGTTGTGGATGGCTCTGCAGGTAGCCTGATTCCGTGTCACTGCTCTGGCCAGATGTGCCTGACTCTGGCGTGCCTCTTGGTGTGTCCTGGCCAGAATCCTGGATGCCTGGAAACACATCGCCCACGTTTTGTGACACGATGCGTGTGCACTCATCTATGACTGTTTTGATCTGCAGGATGCTGGCGGCTGTGAGGATCTGCAGAGCTTCCGACTGTGAGACTCGCAGCACACCGCTGTACATGAAGTCAATGAGCTTTTGCACCGACTGTACTGACACCACCGATGGGATTTCGATGTCGCTGTAGCCCAGCAGCAGCTTGTCTTGGAAGAAAGGGCTGCCGGCTGCCAGCACGCAGCGGTGTGCGCGCAGCATGCTCCCGTGGATGCGAACCGTCACGTCACAGAAGTGGCCACGGTTGCGCTGCTCGTTGAGGGTCTCGAGCACGGAATTGCTGAAGTTGTGAAGGTTGATGCTGTGAATGCGCTCGGTCATCCCCTTGCAACTGATGTCACCTGCAGTGCAGTGAGGCAAACACAAGACAGGGCACACAGTCAGATTTAGCTGACTCCATTTCTAACACTCGGGTCTTAGGCGAGTAAAGCCAGAGCCTTGCAGATGTATACACAAGCTGAGCAGGCTGCACACGTAGCCCAGGCACCCAAAGCTATGAGTTTCTCCCCACCTCTGGTCTCCCCTCCCCAGCTAATTTGAATATCACATTCATACTGATCCCCCCAAAATTCAGGCGATGTTGTCTTCTGAAAGGATAATCAGATGGTTTGGTGCCTGCTATTCCTGTAACTGTGGCTGGAAGATCTAAATGTACAAAGGTACATTTAATTCAGGGACTACTCTGCCTCACTTGGGACAGGCCTAATTCCAACTTCTCTAGGAAAGTTTAATTCTCCCCTCCTCAAGTGACTGAAGTTTCTTATTTTTACTAGTAGGCAGCAACAGTATTCATAGTTTAGAAATTAATCCCTAGTTTACACAGAATATTATCATATCCCATATCATATATGCAAAAATTCTAGGAAAATTCAACCCAGACTAAGATGTTTACCAAACAGCCTCTATCACGCTTTCCATATGATGGAGGGATGCAGAATGCAATTCTGCTTGCAGATGGATCTGGCTGCTCTGGGTACCAACACTCTCTCCTTACCATTCTCCTCAGTCTGAGCACTTTCAAGGCAAGGATGGTTCTGGGTGAGACAGGTGCTTCATGAAGAACCCCCCCCCTCCTCATGCCTTGTTTTTTGTTTGTTTGTTTATTTGTTTTGTTTTGTTTTGTTTTTTTGAGATACGTTCTCACTATGTTACTCAGGCAGTCCTGAAACTCACTATGTAGCCCAGGCTGGCCTTGAATTCAGAGATCTGCCTGCCTCTGCCTCCCGATTACTGGAATTAAAGTAAAAGAAGAAATGTTTTAAAAGGATGGAGGTGGTGTGCTGAGTGTGATCACACTATTCAAAATGGGCACTTTGAGAGTAAAAGATCGAAATGTTGAGAGTTAGACCAGGAGAGCAGGGATAAACTGGAGATGGGATACAAGCTTACTTTGAGCAACAGGATCGATTGTAGAACTATTAGACAGCTCATAAAAGGAAGTTGTGCTGCTCTGATCAGCTGCTGGCCCTGGTTTCAGGCGCTTAGCCATCACTCACACTGAGAAGAAAACAGATGGCTGTGGCACAGTCCCAGGCATCTCCCTTTCGCTACCTCACTCTCAGATGTCTCTCAGGAAGACCTTTCTACAAGTCACTCTTCGGTCAGAACCACACTTGTAACTTCACAACCTGCAATGCTTTCTTTTGACAGAAGACGCCACTGGATTCAAACGTGCCTGAAAGATTAGTGAGGGACACTCTTGTTCTGTATGTGAGGGCATTATCACTGATGACTAGATTATGAGGAGTCTGTCTTACTGATCTGATTAAGCCCTTGATAGATTAAAAATAAGATCCTCTTTGGGGAGGTGGTTAAAGGTAGGAGGTCTGGCCTGGCTGGAGGAAGTAATCACTGGTCATGGGGCCCTTTGGGGCTGGATCTTACTGTGCCTTCTTGAATTCTCTGCTTCCTGTATATAATGAAGTAAAGAACTCGCCTACTACGGTCAATTATTATAATGGTGCCAAGCAAGCATGGGTTGAACCTGCTGGAACCATGAGCCAAGATAAATCTTTCCTCCCAGTGCTAGTTAGTTATTGTCAACTCGACATAAACCAGAGACACCAGGGAAGAGGGAATCCCAATTGAGAAACTGCCTCCATCAGATTAACCTGATGTTATTGGGGGGTCATTTTCTCGATTGCTAATTGATGGAGAGCTTAGCCGGCCCTGGGCAGATGGACTTGGATAGTGTGAAAAACTCGGTTGAGTAGGAGCTGGGAGGCAACTTGTCTTAGTGTTCTATAGCTGTCAAGAGACACCAAGTCAACTCTTACAAAAGAAAGCATTTAATTGGGGTTTGCTTACAGTTGCAGAGGTTTAGTCCATTATCATCATGGCAGGGACCTTGGTGGCACGCAGGCAGACTTGGTGCTGGAGAACTAGCTCATACTTCCACCTCCGGATCCACAGGCAGCAAGAGAAAGATACTGAGCTGGGCTTGGGCTTTTGAAACCTCAAAGCCCTCCTCCAGTGAGACACTTCCTCCATCAAGGCCACACCTACTCCAACAAAGCCATAGCTCCTAATCACTATCAAGTAGTGCCACTCCCTGGTGACTAAGCATGAAAATCTGTGAGCCTATGGGGGCCATTCTTACTCAAACCACCACACAGTGTTCCTGCTGGTTCTGCTTTGTTCCTCCCTACAGGTTCCTCCTTCCTTCCTTTTTTTAATTGAAAAATATTTTTATATGCAATATGTTCAGGTCACAGTTTCACTTCTTTCTTCCTGCCTTAGCTTTCCTCGGCAATGAACTCTAATGTGTAAAAAACATCATACATCCTTTCCTCCCCAAGTTAGTTTGGGCCATGGTATTTATCATGGGAACAGAAATCAAACAAGGACACTCTCTCAAATTTGTTTCTGTCATGCATTTGGTCACAGTGGTGAGAAGAGTTATGAATACATAACGGAGCTATCAAGTTCAGAGAGGTCAAGTAAGTGGACTTTCGGAACAAAGCAGCCCTCACACGGATTGTCACTTAGATCTTAGGTCCTGTTGTAAGCAACCGCAGAGGGGCTGTGCACAGCAGGCACATCTGCCTCCTCAGGCTTTCTCCTTCCACTTGGCTCCACTTGATCACTCTCGTACAGTCTAAGCATCCTCACTGCCCCCTAGCCCCTGTATCACATTCAGTGATGCCATTTCCCTCATGCTGGATAAGTGAACCTCTTTCAACTTCTATCAGATTTATTATGCGCCTGAAATACGGTATTAGCTTATACTTCCCAACTTTTTAACCTAATAAAACAGATTCTTTATGCACAATTGAATGATTATGGCAAATCCCCAATAGCTATGTTAATACAAAATATATATTTAGATGAAGATCCCAATAATTCAGGAATGGATGTCCATGAATAGAGTCAACAACAGATCATATTCCAACTTCTGGATGAATCCCCCCATCATATATAGAAGGACAATAATAAGGACAAACTTTTTCTTCAAGCCTCATTGTCAAGCACTGTTCAAACTCTGCATATTGCTCCACTCACTGTTCCCACGTATACACTGGGAAATTAAGACCACAGAAAGTATGCAATGTGCTCAAGGCTGCACTGGTAACTAGAGGTGGTGTGACTCTGGATTTCACTCCCGACAGTTTCACTACATCACATGCTTTGTCCCTATATGGGAGCTGGCATTAGGGAGTCCATCTAGCTGTGACAACCATCAGCTCTCAAGTTAAAATTTAAAAAGACTTCCCCCAGCTTTTGTGCATCTAGGCCTGGAGACTTCACTGTAGCTGCAGACATCTATCTAACTTAAACACATCCACATGCAGTTGGGTGGTGGCAGCACATGCCTTTAATCCTAGCACTCCTTAGGCAGAGGCCAGCCTCATTTACAAAGTGACTTCCAGGACAGCCAGAACAACAAAGAGAAACCCTGTCTCAAAAACAACAAACAAACAAATCATCCACATGCATGAGAGAGTGTACAATATTAATTTATGAGAACTAAAACAACTTGTCCTGGAACTAAAATGTATTACTCTCTACATAGGATTTCACTGTCACTGAAGTCTCTCTTTCCTTGAAGCAGAAGAGCAGCCGAACAGCAAATTGGCTGTCCACAGACAGCAGGAGGATCACCATTTCTGGGCAAGGTAGGCTTACTAGAACACATCTCTTTCTACACAGGTAGAGGCATCTCTTCAATGCCCATGTGACCATGGTGCCAGTCACAAGGACTGCACTGCAGAGGTTAGATGACACGGCTACTTCCTTCAGTGGATTCGGGAGCATCCCCTTCCCAACAGTTATACTGGCTAATGTCTCTATAGAATTTTACACGGTACAAAATTCTCTCCTATGTAAGACCTCATTTGTTTTTGCAGTAATCCTGTACATTTTCAGGACATTGCTGTTATTTCTGTTTGAGGCAAGAGCCATTATGATTCTAAAGTTTCTCCCTGGTTTGATCAAAGTTCTATATATCAAGCAAACAAGCAGCAGAATTGGGATTAGAACCCATACTTCTTACATATTCTCTCTCTCTCTCTCTCTCTCTCTCTCTCTCTCTCTCCCTCACACACACACACACACACACACACACACACACCACCACCACCACCACCACCACCACCACCCCTTTATGAGAAAATTTATGACAATTTAGCAAATCTAAATAATCGGGTTATTTGGTATATAGTCTAAATGAGTATTATATTACTGTTTTCACCAACTTCACTAAAAACCACAGAGTCAAAGGTAAGGCTTTACATAGATACAAACAAGTTGACCTTATCAGCCCTCTGGATTTCTAGGGACAAGACTCTAACATCTCCCTGAGTACACTTGGCCCCCCACTGCAGTGAGCTGCCTTGAAAGGCTGACTTCTCTTTAGCTGATAGTGGTACAGATGTGATGGAAATGCTGCCTCTCCATTCAAGCACGCCTCATTCCTCCAGCACACAATGTCGAGGCAGTTCCTTTCCCAGGCTTGCTTTTATTTTTAACACGAATACAGTGGGAAAGTTTCTGCCACAGTAAAGCAAAGTCCAGGCTTTTGTGAACATGTCCTTTTCATCCAATGGGCATTAATGTATAGATTCCAATGGAATAAATGTGAAATAGCCTACTGTAGATTTGTTCCCCCCATTGAAAACAAATCTTGATTAGATGGTATTCAAGAACTGTATAGAAAGGAATGGTGTGAAAATGCTAACTCCATTCTTTCTTAGACTGGCACTGAATAGGCATTTGGGCTATTCAAAATAGCCAAGAAAAAAAGTCCACAAAAAACCTCCAAACACCCTCAAACCGACTAACCTCTCTCCCCTGGAAACCCCAAATCTTCAAAAAAAAAAAACCTATACAACTTTACATAGAT